CACGCGCGCCATCTCGGCAATTGTGGATGTTCATTAACACAAATTCGATTTCGTATTGAATTTAAACTAACTAATTCAATCACGTTTCGCGAGATTCGCGCACACAATATAGTATAATCAACACCGTCAAGAGGCGCTCGATCTCAATATCACAATCAGTCTGAAGAGTTCTCCAACAAACACTGAAGACTGAACGGAATTTACGCCGACACCTACGGGTTAATTTCGAATATGAATTGCATTTGAATGAATATAATTAGACTAAAAATAAACTGATTTTCGTTAGTAAATATTTTTTGTTACGAAAAATCGTGTATTTAAATGTTTCGAAGTTTCGAACTAAATTCATGTTATAATGCGAGTAGTCCGTGGAATAAACACAAATTCAACAAAAACATATTTCACTCAACGTTCCCAGTAAATATTGACCGGTATTACCACCGCAAGTCGTTGGTTTTTATTAGGCCGACTCTTTTTCTGAAAACTCGGTCAAAAATAAATGTAAAACGTAAATTTAGCTACTTAATTCGAAAATAGCGCTACGCTGGAATGTTAAATCGGTGTATTCACCGATAACACATCTGAATGGAATTGACTTATCAATTAAAATTGTTCGAAAATCAAGTTATTTAATCGCGGTAATAATTTATGAATGAACACACTACGGTCAGAAAATGTGTCAACAAGTGTCGGCATAGATTTCATGTTTATTCATAAAATTATCTCTATCTCAACTATATTTTTCTATGAATTTATTTTTAGCAAATTTTGTGTCTCAACGCGTTGAAATAATTTATTAAACTTTTAATATGCAACTATTAACCGACGCACGCTTCTGAGTTATGTCTATAGGCGCATTATTAAACTCGTTTGCTCGATCACATTAATATTTACGATAAGATCGCGATAAAGCGGTGCGCGCCCACCGGTTAATTAACGCACATTTGCCGTTCGGCTGTCTGTCTCACAGCGCGATAGAAAATACGCGAGAGCACACGAACACGCCAATTATAATTTAATTGTGAACGTTTCGATATAGTTATAGCTATTACCAGCTAGCTTAGTGAACGTGGGTGTGTGCAGACCATGAGGCAAACTCGATTTCGATGAATAATAAATACCGAGTGTGTAAATTATGAATCCGCTTCCATATTTAATTGGGGCATGCGCGGATTGGCGGCTTGAAGGGCGCGTAACCCCTGGTGGCATAGCCCTCCTGGCAACTTGTCAGGAATGAGTGAGGAGTGACAAGTCGGGAGGTAAATTCTACGGGAGACGAATGAGATAACATTATTATAAATCCGAGGGAAAAGAGATATATAAAACTGGCATAAAAAAGTAAATAAAATCAAATTTGTGGTTTTGAACCGACTGTATATGAAATTGATTATATGACACTAAATTTGAAATTGAGCAAAGATCCAAGGTTCCTAATTAGAGATGAAATTGGGTCTAATGAGACCGGACGTGTGAGTGCTTTGGTCGTGTAAAATTACTATTAATTAACAAATAGTTTATATTAAAGTTCATGTAACATTCGAAATGACAACTATGATGTAAATTAATTGCACAAAGCATGAAATTCATTTCTAACATTTAGTTAAATTTTTTTTTCTTAAAAAATTCTTTAAAATTTATTAATAATAAAATTAATGTTTTTTACTGTTACCAAAATAGACGACCAAAATAAATTATAATAATGGCGAGCAAATGTTTAATAAATTTCAATGAAGCTTTATTGTTATCGTGCTTGCTCGCCAGCGTTCCCCAGCTTCTGCACCTCATACAACAATTGCCACTTAGCAAGTTTCCACAAAGGCAGCCGCGCATTGATGACATGAAATTACACGTGCGCTCTCCAATGACGTCATTAATGGAAATTCTTCGCCACACCTCACACTCATATATGTATTAATAAGTGGGTACTAGAATACCGCCGCAATCTAATTACAATTATTATTATACACACCTTAACTATTTTGAAAACGTACGTATTATCGACGTAATAACTGATAAGAAAGTTCTCTATTTATAAATAATAGCTGTAGTTTTTTTCAATGATAAAATTATTGCTTATTGAAAGTGTTATGGCATGTTATAGTGCATATTACTGCAGGGACTAGATATATACGAGTTGTTACGTCGACGCTTTTGAATTGTGGGCCGTGAGCGTGATGCCGCACGTTATTACATACTATAAATGTTTACACAAACATTACAAACGTGTGTATCGGACGTGGCGCGCGCAAAATATTTACACACGTTTTCGATAAATATTAGTAACGAAAAAGCGATATTTCCTTGAAAATCAGTGCCAAGGCACTAAAGAATGATGCAAAATTTGATGAAAACTGAAAGTAACACGCTACACCTGTTTATTAACCTTAAAAAAACAATTTTACATCCGGTCGAAATTTATTGTTCAGTTAATCCATTGTGAAAGAGTCTAAAATGCATTTTCTTTCATTTTTATTCTTTGCATTTGTCATAATTTCACTCGGAGCAATTTCTCAAAGCGTCGCGAACGACCATATTTCATCCCTTCACTCCAATTTTTATTACAATATTTTACGGTCGCGATGCTGTTAGCGGCCTTCATGTTCTCGCTGCGCGAAGAGCACGTTCGATAAACGACGTATAAATAATTCAAGTGCACTCGGCCATACAAACGCCATTCTAGGACGTGAAGCGCGCTGTGGTGAAAATGATGGTGGCAGCGACGGTCGCTCCCGCAGGATCCAATAAGAGTCGCAAAGAAGTTGTATACTTTCGACTTGTTACTTCCCACATGTTTCTTCTATATGCGAGAGTGTGATTTTTGTATACGCGGACATCCAGGGTTTCTTCTCTGGAGTTATGCGTCAGAGCTTTAAGCTGGATTTATAATACATACATCGTTAACGCAGAAAATGTGGAAATATTCCGGGGAATTGATTCTGAAATAATAGAAATACAATGTTGGCATTTAAAGCTTCGTTAAAGTATGATTTGACCTTTGCCAATGATACAAATATATCTTTTTAAGTTATGAACGTTGTAATATGCTGAATGAGAATATATTTTGGTTATTAATAGGCGGTGTTGTTTAGACTATAGCACAAGCTGGGTTTTGTCTTAAATCAATCAATGATGCGTTCGCGATATTTACGAACGCGCGCCGCGTCAGCTCCGGCGATAATTTACAATCTATTAACATAGCGCAGGCAGGCGAGCCGTCGGGATTAGCGATAAACCACCGAACTGACAGTGGTAGGACGATGCGCGCTCGCGTCGAGATAATCGTGCGCGATTTTCATCCGCGAACCGGCCGCGCTTCGCACAATTTGCGTCTCGCTACGTGCTTCGTCAAAATTATCGAATGTCGTGCGGCGAGTGGCTTTAAATTCAAACAATCTCCGCCAACATGCGCGCAAAAAAGCCAATTTAAGTGATTGTGAGTAATTAACTGTGGCTGTAAAAATGAAGGACGCTATTATGCGATGTTTGGGTTTTGCCCAGCGGGATGACGAGGGTGGAGGCGCCGCGAGTGGTGAGGATGACGTGGGTGTCTACAAACAGAAACGACCAAGTGGTTATGGCGTGGCGGACATGGTCCGTTACCGTGAAATTACTGAAAACAATCCGAAACCAAGTGCGCGCGTGAGCGACGTGGTGGTCAGTGCGGCGATGCAGAAACTCGCCGAACCGAGATACAGTCGCCGGAGTCTCAACGGCGAGGTGGTGTTGTCACAATACAGACGACACACGCCGAAGATCACGCCTGGAGTGTACTACTATTTGCACAGATCGCTCTCTCGGACAGATTCGGTAGGAAAACAAAACAACGCTCATCAAGTTGGTTGTTTATGACACAGTAGGACACCGCGCCTGATAGCGTCATTGAGGTGACGAATTATCGCCGATATCAAATGATAATAAAGTTGTTAACAGCCGCGACGAATGATAGATAACCAATTTAAGTTGATTACGATGTTTTTATTGAGCTTCTTATAGTATTTCTAAAGAAAAATAATATTTTAACGGATTATTTCGTATTTAATCTTCTCGGTACAATAGTTTATAGTTGATAATGTAATCCAAGGTGAAGGACTAGTGGAAATCATTTTAAATCGCGATTACAATGTTTCCGTTACGTGTTACGGCACGCTTATGTCATTAGCACATAATATTTCCTACAAACAGACGAGAAAATGGAATATCGCTTAAAATATTAAAAGTTTCCTAAATATTTTAAAAACTTTTCAGTTGTGAAATGTCACATCTCACATGTCATGAAATAAAAGTCAAAAATGACTTTAGAATGCACTTTGGTTATCTTCGCAACAAGATTATATTTTGCGCGCAAACGCGTGTGGTACTCATCAAAAACTCTACAAAGTCAATTAATTAAAGTGTTCTCAGCGCAATCCATTGTTATAACCACATTGTAAAACAGTTTTAATTACGCATTCTGCTACCACTAACCTCTTTTCTTTGTAGCCCTGACTTTGATTTCATTAAAAATATGAACACAATTTTATTAATGAATTATGAAGGTGACCTCGTACGCAACCACTCTTAGCTACTTGACCCATCAGACCGAACTACCCTTGTCCGCGTTCCTCTGGTGGCTGCGCGCGATCGTCGAATGGACGATCATGGATAATCGCCGCGTTCGACTGGTGAAGAGGCGCAATAATGCTGTGAATCGTGTCGACCGTTCGACGTGCGTGCATCAAAACCAACTGCCCCAAATTGAACCCAAGCTAGTTAAATGTCCCGGTCACCTCGGAGACTCATCTACGGATAGTAAACAGACCACTGACCAAGTTATCGTTTGTTCTGCGCGAACCAATACTCACAATTCACCCAAGTGTGTTGTTACGACAGGAGTGAAAGTTTGTCTTCCCCCGAGGGCTGCTCGACAATGCCCGAATTTTGTGACGCCTCCTGTACTGAACTCAAGGCTATCTGTCCGAGCGCATTTGTTTGTTCTTATTCTGGTTTTGTTTTCTTTGTAGAAATGTCCGCCGGAGGAGAAGTACGGCTTCATCATTCCACCAACGCACACCCTTAAGGTAAGCTAAGCGACGAGCGTCGAGTTATCCACGCCAACAGGAATAATATTTTCGTTTGCAGTTATTAATGGTATTTCCGAGCATGGAGGGCACGGCTGACGCGCTGAAACGCGCCGCCGAGAAATTGGGCTTCGATGTGAAAAACTGCTGCACGCACGATAAGGCTTTAGAGGAATTCCAAACCGTTCACCAGGATCTCATTATCATCGACAGTCGGTCGAAAGCGCTGGATTTCGACACGCTCTGCAGGTTTGTGACAAACAATTTTATTGTGCTTTCATTGGCGGGTCCCAATATACACAATATGCGGCGGCACCTGAATACTGCTGAATCAATAGATCCATAGAGAACAACCGAAAACATTTCCAGGTGGATGTGGATGTTTGCTATTATTTACGGCTGCCTTCAGGCTATCAGTTTCGACGGGCAACAAAAATCGATGTTTTTCCACATCATTAGCCCGCAACCTAAATAGATATCTGCTCATAAACTTGAATTGCTAAACTAGAACCCAGCGAATATAAATTCCTCTTGAAACCTAGTCAATTTGTTAAATTCTGATCATTGAATTCAAAAATAGTAAAAATAATACCGGGTATAAAAGGGAGATTGAAGTATAAAATCTGAAAAGGTTTTGTTTACAATACACATTTGCGTTTCACATAAAAGGATAGTGAGTGTCTTGAATACAATCTCATCTCGGGGAAGGAATACAATTATTTTGTGAAAACTGCCAGTGTATTTATTCCATTAAAGACGGTAGCAAGAAAATTCTCGGAATAATATTGAGTACTCAGGCTAATGAAAATAATAACGAAGGGAAAATTACGCAATCCTCTTTTAATTTAGCACTAGTTGTTGGTTTATGCAAATTTATGTTTTAAATTATAATTTGTCATGATTCTAATTAAAAATGATGAGAAGATTGATGAAAAAATAATGCAAGCGGAAGAAAATCCGAGCAAATCCAACAAAGTCGTTAGTTTCCTTGTGCCACCAGCGTAGAGTTTCATACCTTTTCTCTTGTAACTATATTCCGTCTTATCTGTAGACTATTCATATTTTATGCTTGGAAAAATCCACCCTGTTTGTGTCCTTTTTATGCGTGCGTTCGTGCATGTTTTGTTTGCTGCATGCATTATGCATGGAGAATAATGGTGTTTCACGCAGTGAGAAATTGCGATTTTTCTATTTCCGGGTTCAAAAACTAATTCCGTGGCTTATTCAATACACGTACTTAATTTTTTTTACTTCACTATCTAGTATATTATTAAATATAGATAAAAAGTTGTGTTTAGCTGCAGGAACTGGTGATGAATTTTTTATTCCCATATTTTTTTATCTGTAAATAAACAAAACAGGTCCATGTCTAAAGTTATACAAACTTTTTACACATGTTGGGAACGAAGGGATGATTCTGCAGGTGATATGCAGGTGTACATGCTCACAAAAAACAAATTCCCTCTTTATTGTACGCGAAAAGTTTGAAAGGAAGCATGTTGAGATGATGTTGCCTTTTTGTTTTTGGCAAATTCAACAACGCCTGCTATTTAAATTATGCGCTTTTGAATTCCATCCCTTGTTGCTTTGTTTGCTGTCTTCGTGGCGGTGTTTGTTGTTCCTCTCACGCTCGGATTATTTTCACACCACACGCGAATTACGAATTCCGCGCATTACCCAAACGTATTATCCTATTGTGCTTGTAAATGCACAAATAACTACAACGAAAATTACACAAATTTAAATATTGAATGCGTTAATTTCTTATCTACTTTAAAATTGCTTTAATCATGACACAACAACAACAACAGCACTGCCCCGAAATTCAATTTATCCTTTATAAAATTCGTGGCAGTTTGCTACACCGTGTTGCGCAGCAGTTTTGAATTTAATTTAGCTACCTTCGTGGTTGGCTTGCTGCGTGCCCACGAGCAAAGTTGGTTTCGCCTTAAATTATTTATCTTACTGCCCCTGATGAAATTTTCAGGCGAAGAACTTTAATTCCCCACCCGGTGTTTACCTGCTTGTCAACTATCAACAAGTTGGCGTGTGAGCGTGTTGCTAACTTGACTGGAATATTCACTATACTCGTACTCCGGCAGTAAACGCATACTCATACATTGTTAATAGTTATATCGCTTGAGAAGAGAATGACGCAGCTGATGCATCTTTTAATTGAATCATTAGCTTACATGTGGGTGGGCATACACGTAAATACGCTATTATAAATTTATCTAGTTATGAATATTAGTTGCAAACGTATTCCATTGATCATGTTGATATTTTCGGAAATATTTCGATGTTCACTTTGAGGGTATAAATTATTTCAAAAGGATAGCAAACAAAGTAAGGGATGCTTCAGTCAGCGTTTGAACATCGGGCATTGAAAAGGTTCGATGTTGCAAAGCTGTTTTGATGCGTGGGCGTAAATAGAAGCCAGCTCGAAAGGATTTACACGTGAGTGATGTATGCAACAAACATGAAAGAAATCTATGAATTTATGTACCTTCGATGGGGTCAGTTGCAACAGTTTGCTTTCAGAATTTATCGCATCGTTTTCATATTAAATTTAAAATGAATTCCATAAATAGATTCGCGACAAGTCTCACACAATTGCAGAAATATAACAGATAAATTCATCATTTAACCAGTTTCTTTTGTTCGTGTGTTTCATTGATGATGGACCTATTGTTAAGGCATAATCTTTTATTTTTTCGTTTTAAAATAGTCATTTCAGCATTGTGCGGCAGTTATTCAGTTATCTCAAGTGGAATTTTACCGGATTATCGAGAAAAAAAAACAGATAAAAATGTGACTACTGAAGTTGAAAACGAGACACAATTCGATTTTAAAAACGTGTTTTACGTTTATAGAAATATGTATGCCGTGGAATTCTTTGAATAGTGTTATCTGCAAGTTATGAACAACATCCGACATTTTCTATTGAACATTTCCTCCTGGTATTTCACAATTCTGCTCTCAGCGCTCGTGTAATCGTATTTGTGATTTGCATTTAATTTCCCATTTTTAATTCGCATATTCTGTGCTTTTCAATTTCCAGATCGATTCGAAGCACAAAAGGAAGTCAACACATTGTCCTCGCATCCGTCGTGAAAAAAAGGTACAAAAAACTAATAGTCTACTCATATGCAAAGTTCGCCAACGCGCACAATGCCCAAACGAAGCATTAATGGAACAATCTAAACAAAATTAAGCTCTTTACTAATGCAAGTTCCGAAGTTTTGCACTTTTAAAATTTCTGCAAAATGTTGAACACCTGAGTTCCAGCATGTTTTACTAAACTGCATAGCAACATTATTAAAATGCGTTTCTTTTTTGCGTATTTGCAGTGCGTTCGAGAAGGATGACAACTTAATTATGTCCCACTTAGAGATAGGCTTCAATAGGGTAATTACATTACATTTTCTTATTAAATTACGTCAACGTTTTGATTGCATGCCTCATTAAAACTGAATCACCCTCGGCAGCTGTAACATGTCGATTTGATTAGTATAAATGAGACTAAACAATTCCGTAATTGTAAACAACATTCTGTTATCTGTCTGGCGATGTCTTTTTAGTGTCTAGTTGAATCGATAAACGTAATATCTTGGTATAACGAGTTGATGCAGCTGAAAACGAGCGACTGCCGAAATGCGATGCAGATCGGCACCAATCAGATAATGTACAAAGCCATGAATGGCACGCGCGATCCTGTGATTGTGATGGACGACATTGGCCGATTGCAGGTATGAATATTTATTATTTTTATGCATATTTGCGTTTATTTAATTGAATTGAATATCATTTAGTACTTGAACGGTGCGTCGGAGCGGTTATTCGGTTATCGTGTGGAGGAGACTCTGGGAAAAACTATTCAGACGCAGCTGGCTGGTGATCCAAATCAAATCCAGACGCTCATCGGCGCCGTCACGAAGGGCAAGACGTGGCAGGGTCTAGTCGCGTTCAAGCGGAAAGCCATGGACACGCTGAACACGACCTGCAAAGCTTTTCCTATCGTGTGCGCCGGACGGTAAGATCCTTTCGGCTTCTAGGAATTATTGAAATTGATTTTATTTGCCGCAGCACACCAACACACATCTTGCTGATCATAGACACATTCGGGCCGGCCGAGGGGTATATGAATCAATCCCGGGGGAGTATAAACTCAATGCGGAAGTCGTCCGTGGACTTTAAGAACACAGACTATGGCAGGCGGACTTCTCTTGCAAAGTTACCACTTGAAGCACCTATTACTAAGGTTGGTATATCAATAAATATAAAAATGTTTGATTTTTAATGATTGAATTTCAGATTATTAATTTAATTTATGACGTGCAAGTACAAAGCTCGCCGGTGGCGGGTGCAATGCTTGAAAAGGTGGTCGATATGTTGAAGTGCACTGAGCTGTACTCGCCCAGCGTCAAAGAGGAGGCAAAGGGGCTGCACGAGGAACCTGTTGCGTCCAACTTGATCGAAGCGCTCTTGTCTGTAAGTTCATAGAATTCTAACAATGCAATTTTTCTTCTTTTCTTTTCTTTGAGTATAATTCTGCACAGCGTATAATAAAAATTAAAATAAAATTTTGTTCGATAGTTGAGTCCACGTAAAATTAAGAAATATTGAAAGTTTTCCAATAGTTTCCAAACAAAATGAAACTTTAGCTTTAAAGTTCCAAGTTTCAAGTTGTAAAGCTTGATCTAAGTAATTGTAGACGACTTCTCAACCTACACTCAAAGTTGAAACATTATATCAACATCAACAAATATTAATTTTCGTAAAATTTGTGTTGCAGCAGCACGCATCCGGCATGGGATTGAATTCGCGGCGGAGCAGCAACGATTCCAGTATCTATCGAGCGACGAACAAAGCTCTTCGCATCAAGCCGAAGGTGGATAAGTTGCTGGAGAACGTCCTCGATTGGGACTTCAACGTGTTCAAGCTTGAGTCGCTGACAGAGCACCGGCCGCTCGTAAATCTTGGCGAGCAGATTATGTCCCACTACGACGTACATAAGACGCTGGGATGCGACGAACGTACCATGTATAATTGGCTGCTCAAAATTGAAGCCAATTACCACTCGTCCAACCCTTATCATAATTCAGCGCACGCCGCCGATGTCCTGCAGGTGATTTATTCATTTATTCGTCAGATTAAACTTGCAACAGCAGCATGATGAATTTGCATGTTTTTTATTTATTCCCGGCAGGCCGTAGCAGTATTTTTGACCAAAGACCGTCTGCGACTGGTGTTGGATCCAATTGATCAAGCCACTGCGTTGATCGCGGCGGCTGCTCACGATGTCGATCATCCTGGTCGCTCGAGTGCTTTTCTCGCTAATTCGGCCAATCCTCTGGCAATTCTGTACAATGATATCACTGTGCTTGAGTCGCATCATGCTGCGTGCACGTTCAAGTTGACTTTGAGTAAGTCCCACTCAATATCGATGATAATTCTACCATTTTATTATATGACGTTTATTTGTAAATTGCAGATGATGACAAGTGTAATATTTTCAAGCGGCTGGACCGCGAAACTTATAATCTCGTTCGATTCAACATTGTGGACATGATTCTCGCTACCGAGATGACCAAGCATTTTGAACATCTCGCCAAGTTCGTAAACGTATTCTGCACACAAACTGCGGAAGAACTGGAAGAAGTACTGCCTGAGGTGTTATCGGCACCTGAAAACATCACTCTCATTAAACGTATCATGATCAAATGTGCGGACGTTTCCAACCCCACCCGCAGCTTGCCACTGTGCATCGAATGGTCGAAGCGCATCGCGGAGGAATACTTCCAGCAGACGGAGGAGGAGCAGGAGAAAAGCTTGCCGGTTGTGATGCCCTTGTTCAACAGGGGAACCTGCTCGGTACCCAAAGCTCAAATTGGGTTTATGGACTTTATCATTAACAATATGATGGATGCTTGGCATGGTAAGTTGATGTCTCCTAATATTTTGGAGAAATTAATATAAATTTGTATTTTTAGCATTTATTGATATGCCGGAGTTGGTGACCAATATGCGTAAGAACTATCTTGCTTGGAAGGAGATGGACGACCAGGGATGCTCGACACTCAGCGACATTTCAAAAATGCAAGAGACGACATGGACCCACCGGCTAACTTACTAACGATTTTTCGAACTGCTGTTTGTCAATCAAACACTCAATCATTTATCATTTTAATCTAATTGTGTAAATACGATGTACTAATCAATTACGAATCATCTGTGTATAACGCAAATCTATGCTGACTGACATTTTCTTCTACTCTCCCAGAAACCCCACTTTCCAATCGTGAAACGATTGCATATATTCTTTTACTACAAATGTACACTTTTATGCGAGTTTACGGCGTATGTGTGGTGCGCAAGCCAATTTATGTCATAATCACAGTGTGTAACAAAATATGATGTGAGTAGAGTTTCATTTCTAATTTATGATCAAATCAGAGCGTTGATTAATTGGTTACTTAAAAGGATTTAGAAGAACGCACGGAAACACTACAAACTTTATGATAATGAATAATTATGTATGTAAATGGTAAATTATGCTATTTTAATTGTTAATAAATGCATTTTCATGTGACAATTTGCTTATTGTTTTAATTAAAATTGATTCTACACCTAATATATATCCAACCGTTTCTAACTAACTTTGATCGTTTAGGCCCTAATTGCAATTTTAATTTAAAAAAACAGTTTTTAATGGCTAATAGGGCCTTAACAGAAAATTGTGTTGATAGTTTCTGATTTAGAATTAAATTATCTTTCAGAATCCCAAATCAGAATTTAAAAATTCCAATTATTACAAAAACTGCAATTGCTGAAATAAAAGATTTCTCACAAAGAAGACTTTTTATGATGAAAATTAAAAATTTGAATTTTTAAGGTCTGATATTGAATTTTGGTGGTTTGTCTAATGCTAATTCATTTATTTAAGTACAATTTTATTCAAATATTTACAATTTAGGAGTTATAAACAAATATTTCCAAAAATAATTTCAGGCGAAAACGATATCAATAATGGTGATTATTATCAAAACAATACAATTTAGAACAAAATTTTATTAAGATAAAGTATTCTAAATGACATTTTCTTAAATATTCTGTAATAAAAAAGTTAAATATACGAATTTTATTTTTTGTCTAAGAAATGTTAGAGGAAACGCATAATCCAGTTTTTTGCACTTAGTGTGAAAAATAATAGAGTTAAAGAAAAACGGTTTTCACATATGAATAAAGGATAAAATTTAACATCAGATAGCACTTTAATATCATCAATTATCAACAGTTATGTAATAAATGAAAATGGTCAATAACTCCAAAACTAATTAAGATATTGGAACAAAACTTGAAAAAATGGATTCCTTGCATCATTCTGCACATAATTGGAAAGTTTCAAGAAAATCCGGGTGGTCGTTCAATTTTGCTTGTACCGATTTTCACCCGATTTTTCCGAAATATTGATATTATTGGAAAACTGTCTGGATATCTTTCATCCCATTGCAGTTCTCTATCGAACGCCGTTTTCCATTTTCCTCTAGCTTAACTTTTAATTTTTAGACCACAAAATACTTAAGTGTAACCTCTTGATGATTTTTGAGTGGTGTTTGATCAACTTCATAGAATCAAAAAACTATATCTGCCATTTTGTAGACGCTTGTTATGACATGAAGAAAATGCAGAAAGTTTCATTGTAACTTTTGTAGTTTCCGAGGAAATCGCGTTGGAAAAACAAGTTTTTACTCTCTGAAAAATATATTTATTATATCACATCTGTTGTATAATTACATGCTGAACGTCATCCCGTTTTCCGTTTTTCATTATCTTCATTAGTTCCCGAGATAATTAGAATTAAAGTATTGCGGCAAGTACATGTTACAAGTAAATGCGTTTGTAGGGCAAACCCTTTGCGCTATTAATCAGGAAGTTGTGTAAATAAGGTAATTATAAGCTGTTCTACAGAATGGTATTATTAGTTTTTAATAATTTTTACAAACACTAATTAAAATGTCAGGCACCTCCGCCAAATTTTGATTAATTAATTCAATTTTCCAAAAAATTAAAAAATTTATACTTTTTATTACTTATTATCAAAGAAAACATCTTTATTAAGAAAATATTTTAATAAATATTTGTAATTTGACTTAAGATTAAAAAGATATAAGCTAAATTCAAAGTGCATAAATCTACCTTAAATGAAATAATTAAATTCATCGTAGGGCCTAAACCAAGAGAGATAACTTAAAATCTTACTAGGATACATTGATAAGAATTAATCGTTTGTTCAGATTCTGAAAACAGAAGTTGAAAATTCCAACTTTTAATTTCGGACATAAAAAAGAGAAAAGATTTGCCTTTTTTATGGCAAAATCTTTTCATCGATGTTTCGACCTGAAATATTTTAACTGAAAAAGTTCGACCCTGTCTTTCGACCGAAAATATTTTAACCAAAAAAGTTCGATCCTGTCTTTCGACAGAAAATAATTTAACCAAAAAAGTTCGGCCCTGTCGTTCGACCAAAAATATTTTAACCAAAAAAGTTCGGCCCTGCCTTTCGACCAAAAATAATTTAACCAAAAAAGTTAGACCCTGTTGTTCGACCAAAAATATTTTAAGAAAGTAAGTTCGACCCTGTCTTTCGACCAAAAATTGAAAAATAGTAAAGAGACAGCTATGTTTAAAAGGCATATTAAGACATTTCTTGGGGTTTAAAGGGTGGAAAACGTACGCACATGATAAAATGACTCTTTAATTATTATATAATAACACAATAGTCTATGTAGTCCTGTTGATACATATAAAACAAGGCGTCTTTGACAGTAATTTTAAATATTTGATATAATGTTTGCTGAAATAGAACGAAAAATGGAATATAAAATACGTTGCACAATGTGGAATAATTTTTTTATTTAATAAGATTCAAAAACTTATATTTCTGGACATAATTAAGAATTACAACAATTAATTTATATTATATACCTATGTATATAAGGACTGTAGTGACATCTATAAGACAAGTTCCCAAGCACTGCGTTTACCAGCACGCAAAAATCAGCTGATATTTAAAATGTTATGATGAAAAATAATTATAAAACTATTAACAGTAGTTATTAACTCCCTGAGCAAATATCTAAGTAGTAACATAAATTATTTATCAAATAATAATGATAAATTAGCCGTTCATATCTGTTTGATTTTTATTACGCGCATGTCAAAATGTAATATCGTAACCTGCAAAGTAACTACGACGTATAAAACGATACAAACTTGACTTGATAGTCATTTGTTTAATAACTATCATACCTTAAAAGTCTGCATATTGTTTATGCTGATAAAGATGCATGCAGCAAACTGTAAATGAAAATCTCGGTATGCAATATTGACAATCATATGATCGCCCTGTCAATCTCTTGTGTTGGTGTTGTGCGCGGGGCTGGTGTCAGTCAGGGCGAATCGTCCATCGGTTTAAGACGGGACGGTAGGCGCGAGCCGCGTAGGATGTCGACGTTAAAGTAATTCCAGGCAAAAAGAGCGACCCCGTTGGAACCATCGCGACGACGGAGCGCACCACCGCCGCCGAAGCGCCAGCATGGCCGGCGAGGCGTGCACAAGCGGCAACCGCAAGCGGAGCAAGCTGTGCCGCCAGGGCTCGAGCAGGTCGGGCGGCAAAGACTCCGACATCGACACAGATCGCTCGTCGGTGGGGCTTGCCGGCGCGCAGACCACGCGGGGCGGCATACGCGTGTACAAAATCGTCGTGCTCGGCGACGGCGGCGTGGGCAAGTCGGCGGTCACGCTTCAGTTCGTCAGTCACAGCTTCTTAGACTATCATGATCCCACTATTGGTATGCTGTTATTTTCATCCTGCAAAGTTGAATTTTTCTTATATATTTGTCAAATTTGCAGAAGATTCATACCAGCAACAAGCAGTCATTGATGGTGAACCTGCACTACTTGATATCCTAGACACAGCTGGACAAGTAAGTAAAATTGACTTCTTTTTTAATTTTAATAGTAACACCCTGAAAGAAAATTGTTGAAAGTATTTTAGTCTTTAATATTGTGTCAATATTTACCAAAATAAATGTTTTAGGTGGAATTCACTGCCATGCGAGACCAATACATGCGCTGCGGCGAAGGTTTCCTCATTTGCTACAGCGTCACCGACCGCCACAGTTTCCAGGAAGCGCTCGAATATCGCAAACTGATCCAAAAGGTACGCGCCTCTGAAGACACGCCACTTGTACTCGTCGGCAATAAGTTCGACCTGGAGATGCAACGCAAGGTCACAACCGACGAGGTAAATCGCTCGCGCGTCAATTCGGCTGCCCGTTCTACGAGACATCCGCCGCGCTTCGCACCTACGTTGATGACGCCTTCCATACGCTGGTGCGTGAAATCCGCGCAAAAGAGCGTGCGAAACTCGGCCTGCCAAACAGCGAGCGCAAACCGCATCGCCACAGCAAATGGTGGCGGCTGCGGAGCATATTTGCGCTCGTCTTCAAACGCAAGCGCCATCATCAGGGCAATTCCTAGACACGCACGTAAAATGTGTGATTGAAGTAAGCACAAGACAAGACATAATATTATAGATTTTATGTTCGATTACAAAAGCGGGGAACCAGCGAACAAAACTGTTAAAATAGTGTTCGAACTTCCAATTATGTTCAAAATCCAAATCATTCCAAACTGCTAGGGGAGGTAAAATGGTACTACTTATTGATGATTACCTAACGAGATAATTACTCTACTAAAAACGCAAGTACCATATTAATTAAAGCAATACTACAACAGGCTGACGCACGCCTCGCTCTTCAGAATGACGCACAATACGACAGTTATTAATTTTATTCGATTATTTGATCAATAATGCCTAAACAAACATAAACTAAAAACGGATTATCAATGTTTTCATGTGCACTACAATCAAATAATCTAAGGCACAGGAAACAAAAACGCAAACAAACCGACAAACAATTAGTTCAAAGAAGTTATTATAGTGATTAGCCTTGGTATAGATGATTGAACGACCAATTAGACGACTCTAATTGAAGATGATTTTATTGAATAATATTTATTAATCAGATTTGCTGGACCAGATCAGTGTTTCGCGTGCAATACTAGTCATAGGTAACGGTTACCTTGAAACCATTATATCTATTCAAATGTGTATATTGTCGTTGAAGTTTTATGAATTCGACTTTATATTGTTTTCTCACACATAAGTAATCGTGTCGAGTGTGTGGATGTGCATGTGAATGTGAGTGTGAATGACGAGCAATCTGCGAAGAGATTCTATACAGAGTATAAATTCTATTTAATTGTTGTTAAGTGTCTGGGACATTATTATCAAATTTTATTGAACCATTCGAATGAGAAATATTGTTATATTCTTGCATAATCGAAATCGTTTAGTAACGCAAATGCCAAAGATGTGAAACGAAACTTGCAGTGCGCTTGCGAATGTAATCATCAACTTCTTGTACTACTTCTGAGTGCTTTCACGCGAGACGTGGGGCAAAACGACGCAATAATTCGAGCAGCTGAACTTAAACTGTCGATAACATCTATCCTAAACGACTATTTACAATCGTTTTATACTTTTAAGTTATCTACATCTTCTTATGAACATTTCCCGATATTTTCATTAATATGTTACGAAGCGCTTATCTCGAAATTTGATTTTTATGCGCAAGAGTCACATTCGGTGACAGGTGTAGACGAAGGACTAAATTTTTATTTAAACATGTTCACGCAAATTGTTTGATTCTGATAAACAATCAAAATAATAAACCTAGTATCATTTTACGCATTTATGATTCCAATATTATTTTTATCCTTCGTCCAGATCTGTCACAGAATGAAAAGGCAACTTTGTACAATTCTTATACTGTATATTTTTAAATTTTAAACTAACGCTTGAATCAAACAAATGTTTCATCCAATTATAACGATATTAAAAAGAAAACCTAAGCAAACTACGAAACAGGGTTTTATCAAAAAATATTCATTACTTTTAATGTTCATCTAACGAAAACCCATGACGCACATTCATTCATAACGCAACGCATTTGCATCTTCGATTAATGGCAATTAAATGTGTTGAGGGCAGGAGACAAAAGCAAATATCACTTACTAATCCGCGCCTGATATCGAATGAATCTCATGGTGGGTGCAAAAAGTGCAATGTAATGCACATTCAATCATAACCAAAACGGGTATAACTTGTTCAACGTTAACATGCAAATAATATTGATTGATTGAGAACATAAATATTGCAAGCAGCAATAATGTATAAATTAAATCCAAATCCCTTTATAGGTGTTATTCCACTGTGAATCAAAGTACATACATATAACACGTACAACCTTAGTTGTTCTTTTTATATAGTTTCACTGCATAGTAAAGTGCTAGTTAATTAGGGTGAATAAATAACTACTGAGTAGAAGACAAACAAAAACGGACCACCCCGAATCACCCATAACGCCACATAAAATATATTGTAACATATATGATTAGGAGAGAGCTATTATTATAGTTGATTTTTAAACTGGAACATGCTTTTCAACATACTTTATTTTTTATTACCATTAGTTGTTAAGTATTTATGAAATGTTCATAATTGACTAAAAAACCAGCATTATGTGTATTCTTATTTCGAATTGTTTACGTATTATTTTTTTGTATTTGTAAATAAAACCATTATTTGTTTAGAAAATTTTGTGCTTTCCATTCTGCGAATTTTACCCGCAATTGTTGCTTGATTTCGTCGTTTGAGAAAATATATTCTATGGTTTTGATACTTACATTATACAGGTCTTCAGCAGAGAGGTTGTAGTGTTGATGGGCCAGGAGATATTCCTTGGACAAGTCACACATGAACACGCCTTTGTCATCAGTCTGGAATTTAAATAGAAATCTTAAAAATTATTGTGTTGATCTTTTTAATTCAAAAGACTTACACATAAACAAAATGGCAGTTTATGTTCCATCCACTTGTTGATGTGATGCTTGGAGTAATCATCTACTGTGCCACAGATGATGTTTGAACTAAGACAGATTTCCAATGGAATGTTTTTCAGCATATCTATGTTAAATGTTTTTTCATTGTTGCCTTTTTCTGGATGAAGAAAAGTTCCATGGCCCAAACGGTCGGGTTGAAACTCCAAAATATCCCACTCTTCACTATCACTCTTTACCTCTGCACAATGCAGTGTAACTTTTAACCCTGCATTTCTTGCTCTTACAAATTCCTCTTTTGAAAAGTTACCAATTTTTGGATTTCCACACAAGTCTACACCAACAATTACATCTGGATGTGCCTGATGCATCTCAATTATCAAATTCATAACTTCTCTACTCAAATCAGCATCAAATTTTCTATCCAAACACAATATGAGTTTTACAATAATAGATAATTCATTACATGAATTTTGTATTGCTTTCACAACACTCTGAATGTAATCCTTTCTACTCATATTTGTTTCTTCTCTAGGTGTGGTACGAAGCTCCAAATATATTACACCATCATCATGAAACTCTTTAATCACACTCTGTGTTGCCTGATATACAGCATGGACATTATTTGTGGCTTGGTGAGCCACATTAAAAAGTTGAAAACATTCATCAAGTGTCCTGTGGGATTTAGTTAGTATTGTTGTGAGTTTTTGGTATTCTTGTACATTTGATTGAAGTGTGCCCAGGGAAGCAAGAGTTTCTGTGCTTAAAGAGCCATTTAAATGTGCATGCAGCTCCTAGAAGATACGAAATAAATCTGTTATTTTGTTTATTTAACCTAATCACATGCCGCATGAAGTATTTTAGCTTTAAACATTGCTTTTACAGAAATATGTTAGAATTTTTAAGATGTACTTACAATTTTCGGTAGAGATTTGCAGAATTCCTCCATGGTAACCATAGGTTTTGTTAATCTACACAGAACTCGAGAATCACAATGCTGGGAATGTAAACATGCAAAAGCAGATTCAAATAACAGGTTCTCCCGTTCACACAGTGACCCTCATGTGTTCGTATCTTTGGTTCCTGTTTCGACCGTTGCTTGTTGAATTCGTTGAGTCGCTAAACGGCGTGAGCATGCGGAAACTTAAGCAACTGAAAAAATTTTCATGTAAGAATTAAAATTGAGTAATATATTACCCAGTTCTTCTTTATATTGATTTTAAATTATATATTACCACAAAACCCAAGAAAATATACTACAATGGATGAAAAAGAGATGGTGGTGATATTTAAGGAAATGGTCAATCAATTTCACTATAAATCTACTAAGTATAAAAAGCGTACCTCCTTAACAACTTAATTTACTATTTTTATACGTATGTACTTGTCGTAATAAATTATATTTTGTTTAGCATAAGTAATCTACTTGATTAACGTCTTCAGCGTAATTTGCGCATAAACGTAATATATTCACTCCTGCAATCAAGAAAGCACGCATTAGCATAATCTAAAAATATTTACAAAACACAACCGAGATTTAGCGATTAAGTAGCCCACATGAATTCAACAGCATTTGTTTTAACTAGTCGTACAGCCGGACGATTTACAAGACTTTATTAAAAGATTGTACGACTGGAACCCATGAAACCCGCGCCGGCAACACGCATATATTTAAAGTCTATTTATTTACTAGCCGTCACACAATCAACTCGAACTAAGTATGCGTATGTGTAGGTAATCCTGCTACTGAATGTTATGCGCGCTCTGTGCGTGTGAAGGCATTGTGTTGGTCGTTCCAGCAGGAACCGTCAAAGTGGAAAGCTCGCCACACAATAATATATCGTTAAGCTAAATCAACGACAAGCGTAAAGTGTGCGGAGCAGGCACGCGTAAATGTCTGTGCTCTCCTGCGTTCGCCTCAGACATCTGTTCGAGTGCGTTTCAGGATTTCAGTTTCAGCCTGCCGGCGCGGCGCTCAAACTTTCAGTCCGACGCGGAAGCTCCGAGCGGCGCGAGCGCGGCAATTTCTTTCCGGCAGATAAAATTTAAAACTCAAAAATTATATAAAAATAATCCTTCTCTTTAAAATATATAAACAAAATATGGCCAGCATGTCGGAATTAGCTGGCCAAAAGAAAACCGAAATTAAATCAAAAGATGTAAACGAAGTGCGAACCCTTTCGGCAATTGCGGCTCCAGGCGATTTTAACACCAGAAACATGCAGTTTACACATTTACCCTACACACAACAAAACCCTAATTATACCCTTCGTATCGTCTGCTGTGTATTATTCATTTTCCTCACTGAAATCTGTCTGGCACACTACGTTTACAGACTGATTAACGCCGAGGTGCGCGATAACTATCTGCGTACTTATCAAGTAGAAGAGGTATTCTTGAGCAATCTAAGGAGTGGAAGAAGCCGTGAAGAGATCAATCGGATAGTAGAGGAAGCGTTAAAGAGGAGCGAAAAATCGCAAAACTATCACAAAGATGAAGATGACGACGATCATAGAGATTTGAATCGAACCGATTCGGACAGTAATCCTGCTTTAAAAAGAACAAGAAGAAGCTCACATAATACTTTGGATGACTTGACAGTGGATTTCTTCCAACCGAGCAAAAGATCTGAACTGGAGGCGCTAGACCGGAAGAAGAAAGAAAAGACTGGGAAGGGAACATCTCCTGATGGTACCGACTGGGTTTGGTTGGCTGATTATGCTAGAGTATCGGTGAGTGTTTGTTAAATTTATAAAATATTTAAAAAAATATTTTTATGAGTCAGGAAACCGTAAACTTCCTAATTATTGCTTAATAATGTTTATATTTTATGTTTAACTGATTAAAATCTTAGGTATTGTTGGTCTGCAAACGGAAACATACAAAAAAGTACCTGTTATCATGATAATTTACGGTGGCTAATGACGCAACATAAAAACACCTGTTTCTTTTGTTGTGTGGCTCGTATTTTTAAGAAAAAAATGATTTTTTTCTTGATTTCACGTTACAACATTAAATATTTACGTTGTCATAACAAAAAAAAAACTATAAAACAACTATTTTCTCACCAAGTCAAGTGAATGCATCCTTTTAACTTCAAAGAAAAGTTTCTGCTTGCAGTGAAATTGCTTCACCCCATGAGCGCAATTTTGTCTCAGTTCCTCGCGTATTTTTTGTCCGCACTTAACGTACGAGCCCAAGTATAATTGCGTTTTCCCCATTGGATCTCTTTGAAGTGCGCGTTTTATGTCTTCACATACTCTTATGACAGCTCATTCCCGCACTGCTTCGGTCGCATCTGGCCACCCCCAACAGGGGTTTTTCGCATTTTGCGAGTTTCCACTCGCCGACGACAAATCACTTCAGTTAACGTCGATTCTGCCATAATACACTTGTAAAACTCGTTTATATCTTGTTACAAACATATTGGACTTAAAAGTTTCTGCATGTTTCCGACAGGAAAATATTGATATTTTGATAAAATTCAATTTCTACGTATACAACAATTTATATTATGTTACTGTTGAATTTGTTCCTATTTGTAAATGATATTTATTCTCGTCTGATCTGCGTCAATAAAAATAAATCGCTCAAAGTGCCTGTTTTTATCAACATTTATGTACTGCGGTGTTGTTTGCAGATGTCGACGATACAAGGATACTGCGTCGCTGTGAAAAGCGAGTGCCCGGCAGGTCCCAAAGGACCTCCAGGCTCACGCGGCGAACGCGGAGAAGTTGGATTGCCTGGCATCCCGGGTTCATTGGGACCCAAAGGTAGGTGTTACTCCTTTCAAAAAGGAAATAATTATTTTCCTTACAAACATAAACATCAAATGCACTTCTTGTAAAATATAGGACCAATGGGGCCACCTGGACATCACGGTCAGAAAGGAGAACAAGGCCGTCCAGGTTTAGACGGAAGAGACGGAGTACCAGGTGAACCCGGTATGGATGGTAGTCCAGGTAGAAATGGTCAGGATGGAGTCCCAGGTAGGGATGGACGTGATGGTATGCCTGGAATGTCAGGAAAAGATGGACGAAATGGAACTGATGGTAATAATAATGGGTCAAGTATTAGTTATATTTTTAGCTCGGTCTTAAAAAGCTTTTCAAGAGGAAAACTTTCGTTTTAAACAGACATTAAAACAGTTTGTGGCGATTGAAGTTGAAAATCACTTGTAATGTTCTAAATTTGCTACAGTAATGCAAAGTAAATAGATCAATAGATCTCTCTATTCAAAAGACTCCGTGAATAGAATTTGGAACAAATTCAATGTATTAAGAGTTTAAAACTTTTACCTACTTAAAAGATGAAAAAGTATTAGCTAATTGAAAAATCAACTTTTCAATTTTAATTTCTTTCTGGAGCTCAGCTAATTACCAACTCGAATATCTCCCCTTCTTTTTTCTCCAGTAATTGAAACACTTAATAGTCTTGTTTGCCAACGGCAATTTTTCACGTGCGCTATAATTTTAGGCAGACCCGGTGACCGAGGACCACAAGGACCGCCTGGACCGATGGGGCTGAAAGGTAATGCAGTAATTTAATTTCCTGCGGCGCGCCACGCCGGTCTTAATGAACTAAATTAAAATCTAACGCAATAAGCGCCATAACCAGCTGCTTTTTTCGTTCGCATGTTTGCCAACTGCCGACTGCGCTTGTTTCCATTATATGTTTGGGAATTTGGTGGTGAAATAATTTGTTGCGCAGGTTTAACTGGTCCACGCGGACGGCCAGGCAAACCGGGCACGAATGGCACGCCTGGGATTCCTGGGATCAACGCGTGGAAGATCAAGGCAAATGGCACCAACGAATTACTCATACCGCCCTCAATCATTGGTAAGTTACAAAATATTAATTTTCAAGTTTCACACTTTATTTTTTTGATATTTTTCAAAAAATTATTACCTTAATGTCTTGATACGTAAATATCTATGATTTGTTCGCCTGTGAATAAAAAACGGAAATTCAATTCCGCATATAGAGCTTACAGACACGTGATGTGCATGCTTGAAAATCCCCATCCGAGAAAATAGAAAATGTTATGGAAATATTCAGTGAAAAACTTGCGTTTACTGAATGAAGAATGAAATCGTGTTTTATAACACTGCGCAATGTTACAAACACGAACTCGGCTCGTATATTTACTTATTACGATGTTGTTTGCTTTATTTTCTTCATTTGCTTTCATATGTCATCAACTTTGCGTGATTTCATCCAATTCGTCTCTTTTTTATTTTCGAAATGAAAAAACTGTCATAACGTCGCTTTACGACCGAAACCACTGCAGCTATCGTATTGGTATTCTCAATTTCTATGCACTCTCATTTCCGGTTCGGAACTGTTATTCGTAGATCGTGGGCGATATCACCGCAAAACCTCCAATCATCAATGAACGATCGTTGTTTGATCGTTACACAAATACGAGTCTAAAATCACAGAATATTTCGACGTTCGACTTTAATCAAACATTAAACGGAGATTATTTACAACTTGCATTTGTTTTGCTTTTGTTTATCCCTCCGCATTCGCTTTTCAACTGAGTACAGAGCCGTGGTTTGGCCCGTTGAGTAATGTAAAATTGAACAATGCACGAGTGGAGAGAACTCGCAAAGACTAGTGAAAAGTATTCGCTTCAGAAAACTTTGCACTCGTCAAGATTTTCCGCTTTGTGTTGCGCTTGGAGCGATTTACATTACATTGCGCTTGTCTATTCTTCACAACCTCGCTTTGAAGCCCCTTCAAGTTTTTGCAAACTCTTCGAACTCGAGCTCAGGATGTTTTAACGTTTGGCTAAGAGGCTAAGAAACCGACGAATCTTAAAATTATCAACGAGTTAAACTTGCAATGATTGTAATTTACGTAAATTTCACGTTCTGTTTTCGAACTAGCGTGGATTAATGCGAATTCAAATTGACTTCTCTAATTAATTAACTTTATCGGATTCCGTGGCCGCTTAAAATTTCAGCAACTCCTTCATCTTCATCCGCCGCCGTTACGCCGTTCTGCATCTTTCCGCTTTTCTGGAGCGTGGCATGCGTAGTCGATTTCTTCACCGTGACGATAGTTAAAGTTTGCACAGAGAGCGCACACGGAAAGGCATTTCCCCGCGTGCGCATAACTTCCATTTTGCACAAGTTCAAATTAAGTTCAATCGCTCCGGGCGGGGTGACTCGCGACGTGCCGCACTCAAATTATACCTCACTTTCGCATTCGTGTTCTTCGCGTTGCTAATTCGCTTCTTCGTCGGCTTGACTCTTAATTAACTATAAATAAATATCAACAGCAAGTTCAAACACAATAAAGATCATTAATTTTGGCAATTAGGGACTTTCAACGTAATTACTGATTCATTGAATGTTTGCAGATAAGAGAGATGGGCCGATTGGGCCGTCGGTTATTCCCGAAGGTGATAATGTCACTTTGAGCTGCGCTTCTATCGGAACTCCGCATCCTCAGGTTGTATGGATGCGCACAGATGGTCAACCAATTACTATGGGACCTTGGCAATGTAAATAATTAGAAATTTATTTTTTTTAATTAAATAAAATTTTTTTTAGCTCTTTCTGTAACTGGACATTCATTAAACATTACGATGGTGAGTCGCGTACATATGGGGACATATCAATGCGTTGCTGATAACGGAGTACCACCACATGTTAATCAATCTTTCATCATTGAAGTCCATTGTGAGTATTTACTAAAAATAATAATGCTAAAATAGGTTATGTAAAGTTTATAATGTATATTGGGTTGCCTAAAACTATTTTTACGCCTTTTTTCGTTGAAAACAATTTTTTACTAAATAAATTGTTTTTTCTTAGTTATTCCACTAATCCGCATCTGGAAGGATGCTGTAGGAGCACCCATGGGTACTACACGAATGCTAGAATGTGAAGTTGAAGCGTTTCCGGAATCATTGAGGTAAATTTAATTATTTTTTTTCAATTATTTTTAATTCAATTTTTATATTATCTTTAGATATTGGGAACGTGATGATGGACGTCTCCTAGAAAACGACGGCAGGTATCACATCGATAACAATGTCCGTCGCAATGGCTATAAAGTACGAATGCAGTTGAACATCACTCGTATTAAACCCGATGATTATACGCGATACTACTGCGTGGCAAAGAATGAAAAGGGCAAAACTCGCGGCATCATCAAACTGTATTGTGAGTACATTTTATACATTTTACGACATTATATGCGCGATGCGATAATGAAACGAGCGGGAGTTAGCACACAGTTTAAGCCAAAAGTTTGAAACAAACGCGCGGATGAAAGACGTGATGAAAATTTTATGAGTTTCATAGTTTTATAACTCCCTCGGTCCGCCAGCGTCCGGCGAGAATTGAAAATCTTATAAGACGTGTGCGGCAGCGGGGATTTAGGTTTATATCAGTTGTAAAACTTGGGGAAAAGGTTTTTGGTGTGTGTTTTAATGCGCACATTCGTTTTGTTGTTGCGTCGTTGCGTTTTATTGCGGTGAGAGAGTGTTTAGTTGATATTATGTTAATGTTTAGCGGTGGATCCCAACCTGGCGACGCCGCCGCCTGTGTATGATACCAGCGTCATCGAGTTTGGCCAGCGGCCGCCGAAACGCGTCTCGCAGGAATCGATTTGCCCGCCGCCGGTGCAATGCCCAGAATGTCTCAATCCGAACGAATTCAAGTGCAGGGATTCCGGCGTGTCGCTAATCGATTTGATCGGCAAATGGGAGATTCGCCAGTTTGGAAATGCGACATATCCTGGCTTTCCCGACAGACAGACAGGTAAGAAGGTTTTACACATGGCGTCAGAAAAGCTTTTACAGTAAATTAATCTGACAGAGAAAGGATCGAGTGTTTTGGACTTTGATGTAAGTTTTGTTTATCCTGCAAGGACTTAAAGCGCCATCTAAGTATGAAGTTTATTACTTCAGTGCAACACAACAGGAGATCTACTAAATTATGTTCAATTCTACTTTTTAAAACTAAATTTCATTCGTTTTTTATATTTTTCTGCTTTTTCTTTAGATTGTTTGCTCTACGCTGTTGGAAAACCAGTTTACATCCGTTACTCGAACCAATCAGTAGGATGCTGGATGCGTGATCCTTTGGAAATGACTGGGGATCGTTACTACACTACGAAAGAGGACGACGCTTATCGTCTTTTCCAATTTGATAACAAAACGCTTTTCCGCAAGGATACCCCGTCGAGGTATTTTAATTTTTTTAAATATAAAACTGCTTTATACCCGAAAAATTGAATTTCAGAGAATATAAGCTGATTTATCCATTCAAAGGCAACGCTCACGTGGTGTTCAATGGTTCTTTCTATTACAACGAGCGCGATAAGCCGAAAATCGTCAAGCTCAATTTAGCAAACGAGAGCACGCAGAGCGTGAACGTGCCGTTAGTAGCCACCAACGGCTCTAATTACCTGTACACCACCGGCAACAATTATATGGACTTCAATGTCGATGATAACGGCCTGTGGGTAATTTTCGGCATTCCGGATAGTAATAACACGGCCGTTATGAAGGTATGTGGCAATTAAGGTCGGCTTAAATAATCTAACCTCAAAACTTACATATACCACATAATCCGCCATTATTAAATTTGAAGGTTATGCCTTCACATTACTCCTTGGAAATATATTTCATTCCTTAAACTAGGTTGATCATAAACCAACCAGAGATATTTGATAAAATGTGTGCATTTTCAATTTCAATTCATCATACTTGTTTGCATTCCCCATTCATCATGCGCATTGAAATGCGAATTTCCCGGAATGCAAAATTGCGATTTTGAATGCATAAATATTATAATAACGCCCCCGTTACGTTACAGGTGGATGCCAACAGCCTGCACATTCAATACATATGGAACATAAGCTTGAACCATCACAAAGTCGGCGAGATGTTCGTCGTTTGCGGCGTGTTGTATGCGGTCGACAGCGTCACCGATCGAGATTCACGAATCCGATTCGCCTTGGATCTCTATACCAACAATTTGCTCGATGTGAATCTACCCTTTACCAATCCCTTCCGCAATACCACAATGGTCGGATACAACAATAAATATAAGGTGCGTTTTATTTCATGCATAATGTACGAATCTCAGGGTTTACTTACCCGGTTTTATTAAATCCTAACCTCGAATTCGACTTCTGCTTGTTGAATTATGTATGGTAGTGATTTCTGATTTGTGGCACACAATTGAACACTGGAGTAATTGAATCTTCTTGTGTTATACAATTTGTTATTGATGCAGGAGTTGTACACATGGGACCGCGGCAATCAGCTTACGTATCCAGTGCGTTACCACGAGATCGGCTACAAGCAGAAAGAAGAACTCGAAACGTTAGAAGCGCCTCTGGTGGCCGAAGTAAAAACTGGCGTGGAACATCATCACAGTCAGAATAATCCTGATGATGACAACGACGAAGACGATAATCAATGGAGCGATTAATTTTTGTACTTTTTTCAAAACTTCCAATTAGACGTATTTATTACAAACAATGTATTCAAACTAACGTTACCTAACATAATCTGTCATAGATGATGTGTTTTAAACTAAGGTTATGTAACCTTTGAGGTTAGATTATGTTTCTTTGGAGTAATATTGTTAGCATTGTGTAATCTAATAAGTAAATGATGAAATTTAGGAATAAATTATGGTTTTATAATCTTGTTATTGCGCTGAAGTGCGTTGGAATCGAATACACGGCACGTGCAGTATGACAATATTGCAAATATGATCCGTTTTACATATGTTACGTGACCGCTGAACTGTCACAAGTTGCGCACGTGCAGGAGGAATCAACACGTGATATTTGATGCAGGGCAAAACATCTGAGACGTGTTGGGGTGAATAACTAAATACCCACTAATAATTACATGATATTATGCATAAAACGTAACATTATTACAGCGAAAAACAATTTCTGAATGAAAATAAAGGTTTTTAAATTTTAAAAACATGTAACCTCAATTATAACCTATGCAACTTATATGCATAGCCTCCAAATGCCCTTGAAAGATAAAAAACACTTTATTATGCTATAATAAAACTTAATCTTGTTTCAAAACTGTCATCACGTTTTACTACATTGTGAAAATGCAATCCGTACACCTTTTATCTAATATCGAAGCAAATCTAAATGTTCCCAGAGTTATATCTGAAATTTGTTTTTTTTTTCTCTCTCTTGCTTTGAGTTGGAAAGTTTGATAAGTTTTTGATTTGTTGAATTTATTGTTGCTGTCATGCCATTATGTTGCCGCAACAAACGATTAACTTGCGCTATTTTCCACATCCATCTAGCGTGTTGACGGCGGCCATGATTGATTGACTGGTTTTATAAATAGCCACTGAAAACAACCGAAATCGCAGAATTCCACTTCGATACTCATCCATCCAGTCGTAATTTCAACGCATTTCATTTCATACGAAACTTATGAGTATCCGAAATAGCACTTTATGCAAAAATTGATTTACAGAGTTAATATTTACTGCATCATTCACCAAAAATAAAAAAAAATAGCGAAATAAATTGTTTAATCATTTAATCTTACTCCGAATAAAACGAGCACAACCTAAAAGTCATGGGTGATCGTATGATTAAAGAATAAGTAGAAAAGTAAGCAATCTACGAGTTAGCGACTCGGGTAACTTGAATAAATATCAGCGTGTTGGTAAATTCATTCAGTAACGGAAACGCGCCCCTGTTGCACAATCAACCGCGCTGGGATTGAGTACATATTAGCAAATGGAAAAATGTCAAAAGTCAAGTTAAAAATAAACACTAACCACTACTTTCATATCGAATACCTTCGGCTATACTAAAATACTTGTAATACTTTTTATAGCGATTACTTTAATAACGATTTCTTGGAATTGGCGAGTATTTATTAACCAACGTTATTATAGGTATAGTTCCGCTCGTGTTTGAGAACAAATATAAACAGGTATTATTTTCCGGCCCCAATGGAAGCAGAAACGGACCACGAGTGGAAAAATCAATGTAATATCGTGACTCGCCACCGATTTATATAATATTATCTTGATGGCAATAATAATTTGTGATATTTTTGCGTAAACAACCTTTTTCTGCTTTTAGTGTAATAAAATTTAATAATAAAATCTATTTCAACATAAATCAATTTAAAATTTGTATTTTTAATATTTTTACTTAAATTGGATAAAATATATAATACCATATGGCTTTAATCTACGTAATTAACAATATATTTTATGCATAACCTAATAGTTTTATTATAATCCAGGTTTTACATAAGGTTATGCTGGGTTATGTATGCATGCCGCGTGAGTAGGAAGGCAACTTTATTTGCATCATTTTCCGGCGCACGTTGGGTGTCATCGCTCGGCATTTGCATGCGGATGCCCTCGGAAACATATTCATTGCAGGGAGCAGACCTAAACTTGTGCGCTCACACCGCTCACACTGTAAGCGACGTATAAAGCATATAATAAAATCCCACGAGATTAAACTCTGCTCACTCGGGTTGGCTTTTCCATTCTGACCATCGCGCCGGAACACCAATGCCCAAGCGAATAGAAAACTCCACTAAATTAACACTATATTACCATTTTAACTCAATAGAACAATTTTTCAGGTAAATTTTTGAATTCACTTTTATTTTATCGCTTTAATATATTAATATGAAATATATTATTACCTCATTCGTAGAAATTATGTTTCCTATCAAAATTTAGTATATACTGGACTTGATTCGCGCACAAGTCACGTCAAAGCATTCATTAAGCGATTAACATTTTGCGCTCGCGCATACTTTATGCATGGCTTTGTAATTTTCCCAGCAGCTTCCTGTTAATGTCCGTCGTTTGTATACACACATTTTCATTCGAGTATGCGCATGCAACGCGTTTGAACTTGCAGATGGGTTTAACGCCGTCACATCCCGCCAGCGGGCGACGAGGGTGTGCTCGTGGCTTGGAAAATTACTAAATTAATGCAAGTTATCGCGAGTAACGTGTCACATAAATGAACACAATCTGAAGGTAACTCGAGTTGACATTTATACTCTTGCTTTATCTGCGCGTATCTACTTCTCAATAATTCTACGCTTCTAGGAAAATAGTAAAACGTTATTTTATAAAATGTAGTAGAATAAAATAAAGGACTTGTTTTTCTTTGTGTACTGTTGGTTGCCTAATGCGAGAATAACTAATTCTACGACTGTAGAAACAAAGTAAAAGTTTTATTTTATTTATTTCTTTTCTTTTTATTTTCTAGCGTTTTTTAAACTTTATAATTAAATGTTTTTCTTTTTTGGTTTAAAAAAATGTATTAAAATAAATTGAAAGACGTATTTTTCTTTGTGTATTGTTGGTTGCCTACTCCGCGCATAACTAAAACGCAAAACCAATTAAATTTTCTATGCAGCAGCAAATATTTACAGTCCAATTGTTTCAAGAAGTGCAATTCGTATAATGAAATAATTACAAATTAAACACTCGTTAAAGTCAATTTAACATCCCTGTCGACTTCTATGAAGGCGAACAAATGCAGACAAAATGTAAACAAGTTTTCTCTACCCGTTTGTTACTTCTTGCTTTTATTCTGTTCGCCCTATTTCCGTCCGCCATCCGAATCTGTTTACATCGCACCGCCTCGGCGGGTTTGTCCTTCGTCCTTCGTCACACTGTCATACAGTCACATTCACACGCTTTCAGGTAGTTGTAGAATTATCCCTCTTCGACAACTACCTGCTTCCGACTTCTCTAAATACATGCGCATGTTGGTTCATTGTGTTTTGATAGTGTTGATAATGTTGATAGTGTTGATCGAAGTGCCGGCTGAAAGCAGACACCGAATGCTGTCAACACTTGTGCGTTTGTTAGTTTGCGAGGAGGCGTGATGTAATTTAACGGTGACAAATATTTGATCGCTGCCGGAATGAGGTAACACAACCACAGCGTTTGCAATAATATCAAACACTGTTTGCATCATTACGGTACTACGAAACCAAAATGCTAAATGCCGTTTAATTGGATAATAACAGTGCGGAAAGTTGTGATTTGTGCCGCGAAGTGTTGGAATTACAAATTTAGCGTTAAATTTCACTGGAAACGATCGCAAATTTTTGGCATGCAATAGAACATCTGCTCATTGACTTGTAGTAGATATTCTCTTGCCTCTCAGCGTAATGTGTTTGACGTAATTCGAAAATTTGACACAAAAAATAAACATATATTCCTGGAATAGAATCATTTGGAATGCGGCGAAACCAAAAAATTTAAAATAAATATTGTAGTCGTATATAATCGAAACTTATTTATGAAAGTTAATAAATTTTCAAATATTGAAGGTCATAAATATACATTAATACTAAATTTAATTAAATTTTTTCAAATTTTCGAAATAAAAATAAAATCGATGAAAATAAAGTTTTACTGTTTGAATTCCAATTCGCAGCTCCAAACACATCAATTGCTACTTTTTCCTGTGGCTGCAAATTTAAATTCCCTGAAGGAAAACTGATTCAGGAGGTAATCCATTCTTCGTGCCGATGTATAACTCAATGCGGCTGGCGTACAACGTGTTTCCAAGTAACGCTCCGGCGTCGATGGTGTACGCGAATAAAAGATGCAAAATTTAATTGCCTTGCGGTTACTTTCCGTGCGTTCGATTCACACTTGTACTTTTCCTACAATTTTTGACGCTGGCGAAGAGTCTGAGGGCTTGGGACTGAAGAAAGATATTTGTTTTGTCGGTTTTATAGTCGCGTCAATATTTCAGCAATTTTTTGCTTGATCGTGGATAAAAGCGGTGGCAAAAAGTGATATTTCCCTTGAAGTGGTGGTAATATTGGTTGCGGTCTCAAGTAGTATCAAGTAGTGTGAATAATTTTATTTCTTGGTACAAAAAGACATTTTTACTGAAAATGTTATTTTAAAAAAGATGAAATAATTGCAAATGTGCGCATTATTTTATAAAAATCCGAGCAGTGAGATGAGAATAATTAAAATGCGTACTTTAATGCTGAAACAAAAATTTAAATAATTTAAAAATATGTTTGAGGGAGGTTTTTTTTGCATTTTACGCGTGGCTGACATGCAGAGAGTGCGGAACGCATGCGGCAGGACAAAGCCTGCGCGCGTCCGCCCAACGAAGAAACCGGCAAAACGAAGTTCGTAGACGCGTGAGCGTCGCGACGCAGACAGTTACGAACGTACCGCAAACGCGTCGACAACACCACCGACCCGATCCCGACGTCCGATCTCACCACACACCGGTCCTACCCAACAATCGAAAGTGCATTTCATCACTCAAAAAAAAAATCCAATTCAAAAATTTAAAAATAAAAAAATGTGAATTTAATACAAAAACAAATTTACCAAAAATGCGTTTGAGGGAAAAATCAAGTACCAGTCCACACTAATGGATCATCAAACAAATTTCACCAATCTCACCTCGCTGGCATGGAACAACAGCCAGCAGGCACTGGTGTACACACTGAGTGTAATCGACAACGCTTCCTACGAAGAAGAGGTAGCTCGCCTGTTTGCAATCAATCAGCTGGCATCGCCGGCGGCACTCGTCACCGCCGTCCTGCTGGTCTTCCTCTTCTCGCCGACAATTATCATCGGTAATTCACTGGTACTGATTGCCATCTATCGTTTTAAGCGATTACGCACGCCGAGCAATTACCTGGTGATGTCGCTGGCGACGTCGGACCTGGGCGTCGGGATATACACGCCGGTCGGGATGTATCTGGAGTTGTGCGGCGTCGGCGGGGCGTCGGGCGCTCCCTCCGGCGCCGCGCTCTGTCTACTTAACTACGGCGTGCCCATCACGCTCTGCTGCGTCTCGGTGTTGGTGATGGTCGCCATCGCCGTCGATCGCTTCACGTCGCTTGCGAGACCCCTGCGGTACAATAATCTTATCACGCACACCGCTATGGAGAGGTACATCGCGGTGTTTTGGATTTATGCTGCTCTGGTTGGCTTCTCACCTTTTACTTATCACATGTTTTATGGGACGCCAAATTATCAGTAAGTAAAGAAATTTTAATCTAAAAAAATTTTTTTTTATTTTTTGATTGAAAAAAATATTTTTACCTCGAAACCTTTTAAAGGGCACATATAAAAAAATGTAATATCTATGATTTGCAAAACGCCCAAGGCAGAAGTCAAAGAAAGCGTTGAGAAAACAAAGCCATAAATCATTCAATAAAAGTTCAAGTTCACACCGGCGATCGAAGTTCCGAGAGAGTTCATTCGACCCCGGACACAAACACCAAAAATCTTCATTCGGTATTGTTGATCCAACAAGCCTACAACATCCTATCGCATCCGTTTTACTTAAGTCATATCCTTCCGGCCTCGAAATGCGAGACACACACGCACCGCAAACAAAGGAGAATTGGGAGAATAAATAGAAGCGATATAAATATTACAGAACGCAATCTTAAGGATTTCTATCCTCGTGGAAAGCGTATAACATTACAAAACCCAATAAAACAAACTGTGACGTCGGATATGTCCGATAATAAAAGTGAAAACACATTAATATGTTATGACCTTAGTTCAGTTAGCGTTGGTTGGTGGGTGTAGTGATGGTTGCAGACACATGTGAAGCCTGAAACATGCTGACCATGACAGCAACACACCATACACATATACAGATGATGAACTGCCTTGACTTTCATACCTCACACTCATGATCGATTGATGTACGAGTATGCCCACATGGGTTGCATTCCATGTGAAGCAGAATTTGCAGCTGGGTGAGATGTTAGCAAGTCCAAGCAGGAAATCGATAACGCGCCCAATTTGATGCGAATTATCCCAGTTTCCGGAATTTGCTTTGTATGCAACTGAATTTACAATCAACATCCTCGGCTATCAACATGTACCCATCAATTACATGACAAGTTGGAGAGAGTGTTGCTGTTCGGGGCAAAACTTTGTAGATTTAATTTTGGAATAGCAACGGTTGCAGTGGAAGCTATATCGGACCGGAAATCGATATTGCGTTGACATTGATCTCTGTGCCTTGACATTCCAACAAACCAACAGTATTTAATCTGTCTGGCTAATAACGTTTAGTTTTATATTCAGTTTTTTTCAAGAGTACGCGCTATGTATTGATCGCGTGTTTGATATTTCTATTTATGTGATGCTAGGTAATAAATTTATGTGAAATGTCTAACAATCTAACATTGCATGGTGGAAAGTTTACATGGGGTGTAAAACCGGTCGTGAATTACTGTTATATTATGATAAGATACATTCAGAGAAACAATTGAAACATAAATTGAAAAATTGAAAAAATACGAAAGAAAATACTTCAGTATTATACAGGGTGTCAGATAAAAACTCAATTTTCTGAAATTTTACGCATTGAAGTGTAGAAAACACTTGTTTTCTACTTTAATGTAATATTTCAGAGATTGTTTACAATTTTATAGTGATAACACACAGACAAATAAAAAATTGAAAAATAAATTGAAGAATTGAACAAATACGCAAAATACATCAAATTATACGGTGTTAGTTAAAAACACAATTTTTTTACAATTATTTACATTTCCAGTGTGGAAAACACTTTTTTTTTTCTCTTTAGATATGTAAAATATTATTTTGTGAATATTTACAAATTTTTAATGTGGATAAAATTTACGTTCCAGTCAAAATATGTTAAAAATTCTATGCTAAATGCGACCTCATTAGTTTGTTTACTAGTAGTCAATTTCCGATTTATAAATAAAACATTACATAAAATAATCTACCAATATTTATATCCTCATTTACGTATATCAAAATTCGCAACGTAGAGAATTTACTCTCTATTTTCTAATATATACGATTCCCTAGCTCAGGTGCAGTTTCATAATTAAAGACAACATACTAAAAATATTATTCCCTCTTTAAAGCAAGAGAAAAAATCAGCGGAAAAATTCTGCGTCGTAGCATATTTTGCAAGATAATTTGAATGCTTGATGCCTTATTTACGTAAACCCAAATTATTTGAATTTACCAGATCATCCCACTTTGCTCGTTCGGCAGCCTGATACCACCGCGACCCATCCAGCTGTTTATGTTTCTGCGCCGTTTACAGCCGTCGGCGTTCATACTGCTGTGGTGTGCTATGGTTATATATCTACAAAGCAGAACGGCGCGGGGGGGCACGCTTGCCGTGCCATCACCGAGGTGCGTCACTTTCGCTGCGGTACGGACATGGCTCGAACGCGCGCGCCGCGCTACAGGGTTGCGCTCGCGTGCGACAGGGATGTTCCTCACGCTCTGGCTGCCGTTTCCAAAATTGAGTTGACGTTTTTTCTTTACACGCATTTGTTTACGACAGCATTGCCTGCGTCATCTGCTCCAGGCTACGCGCGTCAGAGATTAGGGAATTAAAGTTTTTTTTTTTAGAAAGTTTTTATTTTTATAAAAACAAAGTTTTGTTAGTTACAACGTGTATAACTCAAAGAACTAGTTGACAGATTTTTGATCGGCAATGATTTATTAGACTCGTATTTATTGGAAATAGAAGAATAATTAATAAAACATTAAAAATGTCACTGAAAGGTGTTAAATAAGGTGTTAAAATTGATATAGGAATTTAATCATAATTATAGTTAATTATTTAAATCTGGTGTATAAAATGCATTATTAGTATTTTTATTTATTTTTAATAAAATTGCAAATCTTCTTGATGGAATCGATACATGCCAGACAAGAAAGTAAAAAATTAATTACATTTTACTAGAAAAAATAATGATTGACGTAAAATTGCTTGCAAGTCAAACCAACATTTCAAAAGTGATTTGCAATTTGCTTGGTATTCTTTAAATGATTTTCAATCACGAGAGTAATAACTACTTGTATCTGAAATGGGGTACTGAGCAATCAAGCGCGAGAGTTAATTACTAGTGGATATTCCGTGCTATTCCTCAAATTACTCCCCAATTTAGAAATTAATTAAACGGAGATGCAGGGAAGCCGGCGAACGCTTTGCAGAAACAAATCGACTTTCTCTCACGTCACAGCGTGACCGTTGATAGAAATTTGAGGAAGAAGGATAATGCAAGATTGTTGCAGATAGTTTTGCGGTTCGATGACGTGCCAAACCGGCAACGTATAGTCTAAAGTTTAATTAAACGCTGGTTGAAAATATGCTAGGCTGACCAGATTAAATTAGTTAATTTGAAGTTTGCTATACATATACACGAATACAAAATATAGCAGATATTAGGTTGCATAACGTGGCTTCCAAAATAAACAACTACGTTTTAATTATAAATTTTCCGCTCTAAGAATAAATCTTTATGCAGCACGCAGAAAACAATTACTTTCTTAATGTTTGCTTTCATTAATTTAAGTTTGGCATTTCTGGTTCCGTGTTACTAAGAATAAAATTCATATCGTATTCTTCGCTTAACGAGAGAAGACGGAGCTTCTTTTTCACCACATTCATCGGGGGCTTTCCGATGAACTTATTAATGTTAAAACTGTTCATACGCGCCAGTTGAATCGCTTTTCAGGGACAGCGATTTCTATATACGGAAACCGGTATTGTACACACAGTGGAAGGCTCACCAGTGAATTTCTTAATATATCCTCCATCGGCAAGATTCACTCACAGAAACGCGCACGCTTTTGATATTTTCAGTGTGCGTCCGAAGTTTTACGTCGTCTTTTCTTCGAATTCGCCGAATCTTTCGGTATTCTTCATTCATTCGCGCTTCAATAATCCATCTCAGCACACACGAAAAGCAAAGAGTAAAAAGTACATATCAGATTCGCAAACTCTGATGAGAACAAAAAGTGCACAGAAAAATGTTACAAAGCGAGGTCATAAATTGCGTAGCACGTGTGAGAATTTAGATACTGAGCTTTTCATTTTCTTTTGTTGGGTAAAAGCTTTGACACATAAGAGAATTTTTTCAAGCGACGATATTAATAGCGTGGTTAAGTTGATACTTTTTAAAGAATGCCGATATCTCTGCGGCATGCATGGAACAAGTTTAATGTCGCAATTGGTTTGGAGCGACACACGATAAGCGATGAAACTTTAACGAAATTCGACGTTCTAAATTTAACTTTACCGCCGGCGAGAAGCTAACAAATTATAATGGAGCGACGTCGGTTTTGTTTTCACAAATACTGTATGGAATAAGGACAATATGAACTTTACATCCTGGGACCCAAATGTAAATAGAGACTAAAATGGAAACTTACTAACTTTGCACACGATGCTAAGATGAATAGATTACATTAAGTTCTAGCACGCGTTGCAATGAGAGGAGACACGTTAGTATTCATTTTTAAATTAATTAGTTATACTTTCCATTATACATAATAGAAACTTGGTTTAGGTTAGGCATTTCCAAGGTTAATCTATTCTAATAATGAGCAATGTAATTCTCGTGAATTTGATCAGACTCTAGGATGCCACTAATTGCTTGTTCCACGGTATGGTGGCAGGGTTATTCCTGGCTACAATTTCGCAATCAAATCACCACGCTTGTAAATTGAAGCCATGAAATTTCTTTTACTCCTGAACGATGCCTGTCTGTATTCAAGCATATAATTGTGATAAATTGAAGCATACACAATAAAGTATATTAACCGAATACTTAACAAAAACTCCAATTACGTATCAAATATTATTAGGAATTGTAAAAACGTTTTCACGTCGAAAAAATAAAACACAAACGGAAATTTCCAGTGAAAGAGAACAAACAAAAGCCGCGACCACAGAAAAAAACGCGCAAGAATTTCACAACAATAAACGTAACAAAGTATTGTACAACAACGCAGCGGAAAACGTAATGAATGCATGAATAAATTTGCATCGCGTTATTTCCGCACATTCTGCGCTCTTCAAATGTTTTAACACTTTCATTAAGCAACGCGCAATGCTATTGCTTTATGAGGTGAACAGTTTATTGAGGATTCTTGATTAGAAATTGAAAAAAAAAAGATTTTTAATTTTTTGATATCGATACTTTTGTATTTGTATTTATTTTGTACTTATTGTGTATTTGTGAGTTAAAATACCACTGATTAGCATTCTTTTAGATTCCTTTGTAGATGTAGTATTTAATTAGCGGATTAATTTATTAATTAAAATCATTAGCACGAAAAAAAAAAAAGACGCAAATACGTTGATTATATTCGTGCACGAGCGATGAGCTCTTTCATATTCCCATCGGTAGGTGAACATTAATGAAAAATTACAAATAGGTCACGTTTTCAGTAAACATCACGACTTCGACCACGATAAATTCTGAACAAATACGAACGCCATGCTGTGTACCAAGATGAAATATTTAACAGCACACACAAATATATCTGTTACTTTTATATATAATTCAAACAATTCAACAAACGAATTGTTTAATTTTTTATTTTGTACAAATTTAATCGTTTTCTTTAATGTTTAACACTTAAAATTAATAATAAAACACAAAGCGTTGTAATTTAACCAAAATCTTTAATATTTAATGTCAATGTTTAATGAATTAGTAAATAATTCCATCTTTGACTAAATGTAGGCAACCAAATTACCCTTTAATTCAGCTTCGTCTTCATCTCTGACACGTGAAAGTTATTGTGACTATTAGCGTGGGAAACGAAGCGGAGCAACAATCGGGTTGAAGGGCGGCCGAAGGTAAATGCGGAGAGAATGAGCCTAGGCTAACCGTGAACGCGTGCGGCGGCAAGCGGCGGCAAACGGTGGAAAAGTGTAAATCGATATCGGGCGTCATTTGGCTAACGAAACTGTGTTGGCTGCTGTTGCAGTCTGCACAACACGTGCGGCTTCACGCTCGACTGCTCAAGGATCAAGACAATCATTATTTATTACATTATTTGTTTATTAGTATCGGCAGACTTTTTTGTTGATGATACGTTTGACCATCGACGTAGAAAATCACAGGAAAATAGCATAGTCGTTTGGCAGTTCGTTAAGCATCGTTTAGATAAAGTTTTCAGGAAGGTTATTTGTGTCATTTGTGGGGTGCTTTGGAGGTTTGAAGGACGACGTGGTGTTACGATCGTTTTTGCCGCCAGGCTCCTTGTTATGCATCATCTTGTTACGTGCAAAAATGATGTATGAAAATATAAGTTGGAAAGCGTTGAAAGTTGTTACACGTAACATGTTTTGATTACCTTCATCATTCATTTTAAATGTACTTAGATCTTATGAAACCCAATATTTTAACATGAGTATTACATTACATGGTAAAAAGAAACTTTAGGTTATACATGGAAGTGTAAAACTGGTTGCCTATAGTAAATTTAGAATGTTGATGATTCTAAGGTTATGTTTCTATTGTTTGCAGATTTGTATGCTTCTCGATGTCTTCACAGATTCAAAAATATTAACACAATGGATCGTGATCTACCTGGCGTTACCAATCGTTTCCTCCAGCGCGTTCAACCCGTGGATTTACGGCTATCGAAATGGCGAGTTGCGGCTCGCGGTGCAAAAAGTCGTCGACGATGTGCTGACTCTACTCGGCTTTAATTATCGCAGCCATCCGATAACAGATGCGCACGTGGTGCCACCAAGTATAGCGGCAACGGCCGGAGACGCCGGTTCGTTAATCAACCACCATCCGAATTGCAACCATCTTTATCATCAACACAATCCACTCGCTCTCGATTTGGTCGAGTGCGTTCCGCAAAAACAGACGCCCATTAAGCGTGAGTACTACAGCTGGAATCCGGATGATGAGTATCTATTAGTGCCGATGGCCAAACCGGAATCGTCTGGTTTCCTCTCTCTGGACGACGAAAAGTGTACCAGTGTAAAAAATATCAATGTAACGTTCAATAACAACCATTTGAACAGCAGTGGCCGGTCGTTGAATAATAATCATTTGCATGGTGAGAACAACAAGTGCGCAAAAGTCGGCAAGAAGCGTTATAATCGAAAACATCTCAGCACGCATTTAAATTTCAATTTCGTGAAGGATATTAAAGACTTTAAAGAATTGAAGGATAAAAAAGAAGCAAAAGAAACACATGAGATTAAGGAGTGTAAAGAAGACAAGAAACAAGCGCAGAATTGCTACAATCGGCCAGGATTGAAGGGATCTAAAAGTATGATTGAGAGTTTTGCGGGTTTGAGGAATGGCACAGATGTGTGGATATTCAAAGGCAAGAATTTGATGATTAACGGTGCGAGCATTGTTTAAATCACGGGAACATAAATTGTTGTGGTAAGCAACCAATTTAACATTTGCATGAAGGTTAGGTTTGTGAGCTACACGAAACACCAAGTTAACTTAACATTAGAGAAGACGGTAAGTCAATACGAAACAACAAACAGAGTACTTAAACAAAGGTCTACTATAGTTATTTTTATACAAAGAAAAAATATCTAAGAATATTGAGAGAAGACAGAATTTATCAGATCAATTACCCAATGGACTATTCTAAATGTTCACTTTTAATTGTAAACAAATCGTTGTTTAATTAAAGTAATTTTTATGTCAAATTGTCAAACAAAACTACAGAGTATCTATTGTATAGAATCTCTTATTAATAACGGAGATTTACTTGTTTCTAACCAAACATTTGAAAAAAAATTGGTTCCGGTCGACGATTGTAGGTGTCGCCACTTCGATTGGTTAGCAACCGGTGAATCTCCACTATTCGCACATGTAAAATACTAAATTGTATTATAGTAATTAAACAATTTCGCATTCAAATTCAAATGTCAATACGAAAAGATGTGCGATTCTGTACTTAGGTGTCTACCATCATTCCACTTCACAACCTTCAACCTCCCAAACACTCATTAACGTTAAATAAATATCAATTTTATATGCGTGCAGTGATTGCACAATATAGTCACATTTATAAATGTTAACTATATAAAGAGATTATCTAATAATTATTGTACTTAATGACTGTTGAACGTTATAAATTTTAATTTAAGGTGCCAAAGATTATATTTTATGCGTTAGTGAACTTTTTCTATGGTTTAATAAGTCAGAATTCAATTGTGCGCTAAATAAGTGAATAGAACCAAAGATACAATGTGCTTATGATGCTGTGAATAAGAATAATACCAAAAATATATAGAGAATTATTTATAGATAAAAGATATAAACAGAGTAGACGTATTTAGAAGGATGTTGGTGATATGACGGAGAGATATATTATCTCAGGAAATATAAATATGTTCAATTTATTTATAATTACAAATGTTAAATGAGTTCGGACGAAAACTACTCCTACTTTTTTACTTCCAGAATTGGATTGTAATGGAACATTTCCAGCTACTATGTAATTATTTAAAGAAAAAAATTAAATAAATTATTATAAACTGTGAAATTTTTATTTAAGTTTTTCTGATAAAAAAAACAGCAGTTCCCGTTGCATTCTAGCAATTTTGAACTTTTTATTTTCCAAATATTTTCTGCGGAAACACCTTTAAAAGCTTTGATTTTTCGTGAATAAAAGTTGAATTACGTTTTTACTGGTAATTATTCAAGCATTGAGTGCATTTTCATGTTGTTCAGCTTGAATTAAACACCGAATAAAACGATTCAAATCATGAAGCTCCACAAAAAATATTAATTATTCTGATGAGCCAACTTATCTCATACCAAAGTTTTTCATGGAAATATTTACGGGAATAAAATTAATTTTAGTTTTTTTAAACTTTATTTAACATTCTGCCTCATTTCATGCTTCAAATCTATGTTTACAAAATATTTTGCATTTCTCTTCACAATACTCGTAAATGTTTATATTTTTTCTACGATAATGCGGCGATGTTGCTACTATTGTATTGGAATCGTTGACGTGGGTAAATATGCGCATGCGCAACATGTTTATCCACTTGATTTGAACATCTATCGTAGAAAAAATTAAATAACATGTTTAAATATGACTAGTAAACACTCAGAGTGTCCAAAAGTCACATTTTACACATTAAGTATACAATTTACTTAAATTCACATCTCATCACATTTTAAACTCTTTTCCTTTCTTTTTCACGTTATAATTTTGTTTACAACTAAATTTTCATTTTTATTATTGACTGATTATAAAATTTTATGTGGCACTTCTATTTTAATCTCTATAAACTAAAACTAAAGTTCTAATCTTTAATCTTATCGAATTTGACTATCTGCTACAAAACAAAATTAATAATTCAACATTTGTGGCAATTATTAATTATTGTTTTAATACTGCTTGTTTCAATGTCAAGATTTCGATATTGAGATCTGTTTGACAACCGAGCCAGCTCGAAATAAATATGCTAGTAGTTTTATTTGTGCCTACAATTTACACTTTACTTTGATGATGATTCATAATTAATAAATTGTCTTGAGTTGTGTGGCTGGATGCTACCTTGATCCGTTTGTGTTTCTTTATTGTCTAGTGTGTAATTCATATGGGAATGGGAGTTTTTGCGAGGGTGCTGGACTTGCTGGTGGCGTCCTTTAGATTGGAGTCGTCTATTTTCTCAATCTTCTTGAGATTCTGAATGACCGCGTTGTGTTCGTCGAGTAGTTTTCGGAACTCATCTTTGCGGTGTTCGACTTCATCCTGCACAAATAAATCGTAGTAATATTAGGAAATATTCTAAGAAAATGTTGGAGAAATGAGGTTAAGACGAGATTTTTTGATAAATAGTGCAACGTAAAGACGTATGCAACCAAATAAGCTTCGGGGGAATGCAAATAAGAGCTTTAAGTTGAAAACATGTTTTCTTTGATATAGAGAAGGATAATAAAGGCATTGTGCGCAACAAAGAGTTTTCCGGTCAGCTTGTCAACAATTTTTAATTTCTAATTGTATACAAACATTTTTTAAATAAATTAATATGGATTTGTTTAAAACAGCGTAGGAAAAGACTAAATTTATTACTTACAAGGATTTTTGAATGGATTTATCTGGAGTACCCGCTCGACCTTTTGATTCTTCCGCCTTCGGTTTGTTTGAGGTTTCTAGGTGATCATCGCAGGGTTTTTCCTTTTCAACGTGCTCTTTCTGCAGTTTGGAATCAAAATCGTCAACAACAATACTGTAACAAAACACATCAGTTTAAAATTTACACAAAATAGGTTAAACTGTCAGTATATACAACAGCGCCATCTATATGTTGATAAATAAAATAAAAATCACAGTAAAAACACTCGGATAATTTGTAGTGGCAAATCAAAACTCTACAAATTTAATTTTCAATTAAAATAAACACTGGCCCACGTATACCGTGACCGCAAACGCAAAAATCAATGCCAGCCGGAATCCAACCAGCACGTATAGGTAATTCGTGTGCACTGCAGGTTGAATAACATCCAGGCAGCGCATTCGCTTGGTAACGACGTTGTGCGTCATACTGATTTATGCAATTTTAATCATTCTCCGCTAACCCAAAGCCCAAAGCCAAAATCAACATCGTTGCGCGTTGAAACTCGCTAACTAGCATCATGAAGCAGCTCTCCGCTTTCAACAAATCCGTGCACTCATAGAATGTAAAATAAATACCAGCAGCCACATTAGTTACAAAAACATTCACAACAAAGATCTTAAAATTGTTTGTTCTTGTGTGAATGAGTTGAGTGTCTGTTCATTTGCATGTGGCGCTGTCGCATTATCTCCATGTTATATCGTCTAGCCGTGGCTTTGGTCCGGCTCGCTCGAGTGTAATTCATCCCCGAGTTTTGTCGGGCATTAAATAATTTAGCGTTAGGCATTTACGACGGACGACTCGTTCAAGGTCCGTCAACGCGTCGCTTCTAATACACCTAACCTCACATCAGCGCTCGTCGCCGGCGAGCACTTTGCAGAATGCTAATTACTAATCGCGTTGAGATGTGCGCGCTAAATGGTAAACACTGAAAGGACAAGTATTATCTGCACCATCACGGGGGTAGTAACCGACCCACGCGATTCAGGAATATTGCAAATGTGCAAGCTTTTAAAATACAAATTTTAAGTGCATGTACTCCGCGTACCTTTTGTATCATTTAATTCAATTCTACTTTCATCTTCATTTCTACTTTGTGCCTCTCGCTGGTGCATTAATATTCAGAGAAATTGCAGAGAATTCCAAACTCGTCCGAAGATGAAGCGTCATTCGCCTCTTGAATATGTAATGTTGTTCGGTCGGACAAAAAAGTCCGGGTTGTCGGATTTAAGCGCGTAAAAAACTCCAATTCATTTTGAAAAGTCATTGCAACATTGTTGAGCCAACGTGTAGATGAGCATAGGTATGAACTACGATGGGATGATAACCTTTTATTTATGTAAAGCCTAATCTAAATGCGACCACGAATGCAAATGCGGCGGCTAATGCAAAAGGTGAAAAAGTGCAACACAAGAAATTTGTTTCCAACTGTGGCGCGACAAAAAACTTGTTTGGTAAACAAATTTATTCCGGACGTGAAGGAAACTTCATCTAAATTATTAACATTAAAAAATAATAGACATATAATAGGTAATTATGGTTTATTTAACAAAAACAGTGTAAAAATTGAGTAAGTTTTGATTAAATTGACTCTAGACAACACAGCATACAATATATGCATAAAAAGTTGCATAACTTCAATGTGTTCTTTTTAAGATTAAATTCAGTCTGGGCATTGTTATGTTATACACTAGATTAGATGGAAATTTGAATTAATTCCATTTGTTTTGCTCGTGCACAGCACGAAACGATGAATTATTATTTTATCGAAAGCGTTCACGTGTTTATATTTAGAATACCAATATTTGAAGCGATGCAGTCCACTCCATAACTATACATTTCCTCTCTCCATTGTTACATTGAATTTAAACATTGCAGTATTCAAAATGTATTTTTAGCTCTATTCACGATTACACACAATTTTATTTATGATTACGCACCGAAAATAGAAAAATTACATTTCCAATTACTTCTTCAACCAATACGGCTAATATTCATTACTTTTCTTTGCAATTACACTCAGACGACAAGAATTCACATGGGATTTAGAACAATAAATTACACTCATGATATTTATCTATTTATAGGACGCGCCGGCGTGCGCAAAAGTTTTCTTTTGACGTCATTGACATTGATCATTGAAAATAAAAAGAATTGAAAGAGTTTGATAGTCCTTCACTTTGCAGCATTAACTAGATCCTTATTACGTCAAGGAAACATCCACGTTCGTAAAACACATTGCGATTGCGTCAATATAAATGCGGCGACGTCAAGGAATTCGTAACGAAGGTGAAAATCGAAACGTGATTCACGATTTGGTTTCAATGAATTTTCCAAACAAACCAACAACGTCATTAAAATTTAAATTTTAGTGTTATTCAAGTAATATGCGGAATTAAAATCTAGTGATGTATGCGCTTGTTGAAAACCGAAATGAATAAATTATTGCGCGGCGTACATGCAATTGATTTAAAATGGTGGCTTGTGATAAAACAGATTTCCGCTCGAAACGTGCCGATTTTCTGCCTAGCTACTAGCCAACATTGTGTGCCACACACCGCAGTAATTGGAAAACACGTAGCGGCGATTAATTCACCACTTATATTTTTTTTTTTATTTGCAGGTAGTTATAATTATCTTGTTGTCAAAACTCAAAGTGCACGGTAAACTCTGACTGACTTTTCAACGTGACTAATCAACATTAAATGTTTACGAAAACAATTGTAAACAAATTCTTTAATTAAATATTGATGTTTTGTTACGCATTGTATTTGTGATTCGGCATGCCAAAATTGGCTATTGTTTATTACCGATAACTCGATAAGCTTTGCGCACAATAACAATTTAATGAAACGGTGATAATTTCCACGCATGCACACAAAAAATAAAGATTACCGGTCGGCAGCAATCGCGATTATAACAAAATGTCATTTAAACAATACATTTATTTTTATATATTAGGAAAAAATCATTTTGGTGGATTAATTTGCATAATATTGCTCTAAACCTTTAGCGGAGTAAATAAAATCATTGTGTAATGCGATTGCATAATTCAATTGTTTTATTTTTAGCAAAGAATGCATAAATGCATGGAATTTTGGCTGAAACACAAACGCATCCGGTTGCGACATCTTGCGAACAAAATATTAATCAAATTAAATTTATTGTTATGTCTTTGATGTTTTTAAACATTAAAAAGTGAAATAAAAGTCGTCTATGGGTAATATTTCATTTTTTATTCGCGTTTTCAATCGATAACGAATCAATGTAATCAAATAAAGATACCAGCACTTTGGTTTAATAAATAAACAACTTTCAAACTTTTTTTTTGGTTTTATTGAATTATATTTAATAATTTTACCTTAACATGGATTTAGTCCGTTGAGGATTTTCCGGTTGAAACACTTTGTCCATGTTGAGCCGAATTCTTCGTCCACGTGCGGAAGATGTACGCGATTCTAACAAAAGTCACCGATTCGCGCTTCACTAACTTCCGGCAAGCGCACGCGAGCAATGAAATCGAAAGCGCAATCGAATGCGGCGCGGCGCACGATTGAGTTTGAAGTTGAATGTCACTCGCAGCTCGGCGGCGAAGTTCAAGTCCACGTTGGCGTGTGTCTAAGGTCCTGGCCGTGCCGGCTCTAATGCTCTAATGAGAAGCCGCGAGGCGGAAAAAAGTCTCGGCGCCGCCTCTGGTTCGATTTCGTGCCACTGTGCCGGCCGCCCGTGTGCCGAGTGTGTCGAGCGAGTTCGTTTGAATGGACTGGAATGAAGCAAACACACATCGAACGTGTTTTAAAATTGACGAACGGAAACCCACACACACACACCAACACTGGTGGCGGGCAGACACGCGACCGCCAGCGAGAACGGTTTGACGTGAGTCGCGCGGGGGGGCGGTCGCGATATCGCTATTGAATTCTTCCTCGTCACTGAGTTGCCACCTTTGCCGCCGCCGTCGCACACTGTAACACTTTTCGACTTCCCAACTTCTCAGCGGCAGCGTCATCGGTATTGCCAGGCCTCGTTTCGGTTGTTTAGATATTTATGCAGCAATTTAATAATGAATCATACCGTATACTTCAAAAAGTGAGTGGATTAAAAATACCCTCAATCAATATCTTCAACAAAATTCGCGATTTTATTCGTTTCTTAAACACCCAGTGGGTGCACGTTGTATTTTCGTCACAATGCGATACATTACAAACATGCACAGGTTCAATATACATTGATTAAAACTAAACGCTACACGAGGCGCATGATAATAACACCAGGGACGTATTTAACACCTTTATGTCAATAAATATTTATTTCTTTTATTTTCGTAACATGCAGTTGGTGATTTATTCTTGGTTCGCTTTTATCGTTTTACTTTAATGAATTTCAATCAGCGTCATCGCTTCGAATTGCTTTACTTTTATTTCGTTATTTTCGTCTTGGTTTACTCCACTTTTTACTCCATACTGCGCACATTTACGAGTTGATTGACCACCAACGCTGATGGAAATTTTGAGCCGTCCCCTTGATGAAATATCGAATTACAGCAGAACATTGAAATTGTTCCATATTTCAAGCGTGTTAGTAAATTTGAATGAGTGTGTTGTTATTGGTTGACTCGCTTCATTCAAATGAGAAGAAACGTAAACACTCGCAAACAACAACAACAGTAATTTATAAGGATTCATTTTGAATAAATACCCGCATATCAATTTCGTAAAGTAATAGAAAACGTGATTTTCTTTATTTGCTATTAATTGTAGGCAACACACAATACACCACAACATGAACATAACCAATATTAATTATAAGACGTTAAGTTTTATGTTGTAGAATAACATTTTCTCGGTTCAGGTGAATGTAAAAAATGTAAAAATGTATAGATTGTTGACTCATGATAAATTAGCAATTTTGCACTAATTGTTTTGTTTATACCTTACTGCCAATTACATCAACGTTGATTTGTAGTTGAGCGTCGCTAAACTTAATTAGTGATTTTAATCGTAAAAATTAAATTACAGCATAATTTTAAATCAATATATAATTATTAATTAAATGTTACTTTAAGACACTGTTCGATAGTTGTCTAAATAGGTTATAAATTCAAGTCGATTTTATTTTCAATTAAATTCAACACGTTGAAAGGTGTTAACGCATTTATGTGGTTAGTGTGTGTATGCGGGTTCGTGTGCACGTGAGAATTGCGTGGTGTAGCGATCGGTGCACCAAAATTCGTTTCGATTTTGCGCTATAAATAGCCAACGCGCGCACGCAAACTAATTTCGTTCGTAAGTGTGTCGCTGAGAGTCCTGCGAGCGCGCGTCGTAGACGGTAATGAACGGCGACGCTCTTTTTGTTCGACGAAACAATGTGCTATTTGCCACTTTGCCACTTCACTAATTTTCAATAGAATAATCAGAAACCACTAAAGTAAAACATATATGGTTTTTATAGTGTGATGTAAATTTGGTTGCCTAACATAAAAAAACTTTTGAGGTTACTTTGTGAAAAACCAACCACAACTAAAGGAAAATGAGGTCCCTTGATAAATTATAAAACAACTTTATTACATTTCTACCTTAAAACAGTAATTTATAAAACTTTGCGTCGTTTTTTCCTTTTTTTTTTGTTGGGATGATAAAAAACGGTCTTACAACGATGATAAATCGTCCCCAAACATTATTTTTACAAACCAACTCATAGGTTTCCCCCGTTACCCAATGTTTTATCTTTGTAACCAACTGACTGAGTGACTGACTCAGTCGACAGTAACCTCTTAACGCATTTTGCGTCTGCACGCTTGGCAATTATTCAAATCATTCAATTGTACGGCTGCTGGCTCTCGCCGACGATCATGACGATAATGACAACGAGCGTAATAATAATTTGCGTCATTCGTCATTCGGCTAATTCAGGATAAGCTATAATAGATTATAATCCATACGCGTACATACAGCGTGAAGCTGCATATGTGCATATGTACATTAAACACATTATTGAATCTCACCGTTAACCTTTTATTAAAACCGAATTATCTACTTGAAGTATATGCAAACTTGGTAAATATGCATTCAGTATTTTAATGATTCATCAACATCCTGGACTCATGGACATAATTCGTGTTGTTAAATGTTATGTAATCAGTTTGGAAAACTGTTTGTTTAATTTATGCATTCGGCGAATTCCTTTTCAAGTGGAATTTGTTCAATTTGTTTGAAATACTTCAATGAAGTTGATCTTTTCACTAGAAAAAACAGCGTTTGCGTCAATTGATGAAGAGAAAAGTATATTTTTGGTGTATTTACGTAGATATGGGAACATTAAGCAGTATTTTATATATGCACATAAATATTAGTTACATTGTGCTAGTCACTCAACTTGTATGTTGATTTTTGAACCGTAATGTCATAGAGTAATTAATTATCCCACAGAAATTAAAGCATCATTAATATTAATTATACTTGTTATTAATTACAATGTAATGAATACGCTTTTATAGATATTAGTTCCATTTAAGACCGCTAGATGGCGCGACACGTCAGTTTAATTATTTCCTATGTGTTTGAGTTACGGTACAATCACCGAACAATGAAAATTTTCTAACTTTAAAGTAAATAAATGAATACAATTTGTTTTGTTAAAATAGATAACAATTTAATGTGATAATTTAATTGTTTAATATACAATTTTTTAAAGTTACAATAAATAAGTTATTTACACAAAAGTACAACAACAACAACGCTTGTTTCTGTTTCTGTTTATGTTCGTCTTTCATGTCTTATTCGAACACATCCAACTGATTTTTAATAAATATGAACAATATCTCCCGTGCTGATATTCAAAAATCTTTTAAAAATTAAATGCAAACTAAATAAAATTATTTGTAAATAAACAAAATTATATAATGCATTGAATTTACTCCTCGGTTGGTGAAGTTGGCTCAGCAACTTCTTCCTCCGCTGGAACCTCTTCTGCTGGTTCCGCAGCTGTTTCTTCAGCCGGCGCTGGGCTTTCAGGTTCTTCAACCAGTGGTTCTTCACTGCTTGCTTCGTTTTCAGCTGGTGTTACTTCAGCGGCTGCTTCATCGGCTTCCGCACGTGCTTGTTCGGCTTGTTCAGTGAGTTCTTTCTCTTTGGTTTCCAACTCGGCTAACTCTGCTTCTTTTTGTGCTAATTCAGCAGCTTCTGCTTCTTTACGCTGTTGTTCAGCTGCTTCTTCTTCTGCTTTGGCTTTCTCGGCTAATTCGGCCTCTTGCTTCGCCATTTCGGCAAGTTCTTCGGCTTGTCGTGCGAGCTCGGCCTCCTTTTCTTCTTCTGCTTGACGCGCTATTTCTTCAAGACGTAATAATTGCTGTCTTTCTTCTTCGGCTTTAGCGGCTTCCGCCTGACGTTTTTCTTCTTCCAAACGAACGCGTTCTTCTTCTTCTTTCTTTGCCTTTTCAATTTCAGCCTGAAGACGAAGCATATCAAGATCAATCTTTGGATGGAAGGTTTAATTGGTTTATTAGTTCCATGAGGAAGTACTTAAGTTAGTAAGTTTTGTGAGGTTATGTTATTACCTGTTTAGCCAATTCTTCTTGTTTAGCTTACATTTCAGCTAACTCTCAATTCAGCGGCGCTTTGGCAGCAGCTTCGCTGCGGCATCTTCTTTTGCTTTTGGCTACGGCGGCCGCTTTTCTTCGCGGCTTCTTCTTCAGCGCGCAGCAGCCTCTTCAGCTGCTTTCTTAGCGCATACCCCTCAGCGGCTGCACCAAGCTGCTCCGCAGCTTTCTTAGCAGCGGCAGCTGCAACGCCAGCTTCCTGTTTCTTTGCTTTAGCTTCTTCGGCGGCTTAGCGTTTGCAGCAGCTTCTCTTCTTCCTTTCTGCGGCCTTCTTTGAAGAACCGCAGTCATACTCTTTTGAAACATATAATAAAGAAACAAAACAAATAAAACCATTGAACCATCATGCATCAATCAGTAGAGATTTTTATGCGCAATACCAGCAAGTTTGGCTTTAACATCAACCTTTGCGGAATATCAGCCGGATTGATCTCGTTGAGCTTGGCCAGACGTGCAGCGTTCCTGCTTGATCTGAACCACTTCCCTCAGTGTCCATGTGCGCGTCCTCCGTGGGCGTGGTACTGAGAAAACCGAGAAGGTCGTAGTGGGGTAAGATTACGCGCACTGAAAATGGTTTTACGGTAATGACGCAAGTATCAATTAAGCCTGGATAGACACTAAATGAAAACGGTTGTGTACAGAGTGTATGCTTTTATTTAATCCTACACATGCACATAGTGTTTTGGAAACAATACAAAATACAAAAAAGATATATATGGTACAAAATACAAAACATTTAATACATACAAACATTGAACATGCAAGAAAAAATGTTCGTAAAAGTGTTTGGTATTACAGTTTTGTTCGGAGATTTTTAATTCGGCAGATGCATCAAAAGTCATTAAAATACTATCAAGCGGAAGCTCTGATTCGTTTTGAGATGTATGACAGATGTTGGTACTAATATTATGTTGCATATTGGCCCAACCATGTAGTCAGCAGAGACTTACTTTTTATTTAATGGGAGTTTTTATTATTTAAAGATTCGGTCCAATCGTCACCATTTGGGGCATCAGGTTTGCATCTCGTCGATGTGGTATTTTATTCGCTTGTTTTATTTTAGATTCCGTTTAGACGTGGTTTTGTTTTACAGTCAAACAAATACAAAATCAATTATGTATGTAACTTGTACAATAAATAATTCTTGCGTTTACAACGTAGCTTTTGTTTTACTAAACGGACACTTTGCTTTAATTGGTGTCCTGTTGGAGAATCAAAGGAGTGAAGAAGGATTTTTATGACGAATGCTTCTTTAAATCAACTTCAAGAGGTATTTAAGAAGGATTCATAGAATTATTTTAAGAATTTTAATCACAATTTTAATTATAAACCACTTTTTAGTCAAAAACTACAAAAAAATGTTAAAATTGTGACTAAATTTGATAAAATTTCACCTTAAATCCTTTGTTTCTGTATTTTTTTAAACAAAATAATATTTTATTCTCTCAACAACAATAATTTAAGTTAATTTATATAACAATAATTTAAGATTCAAGTTTTAAAAAATCTTGCGTTTTATAGGCGAAAAATAAACTCTCTTAAACTATTTTTAAAACTCGCGCGTGTTTAGTTGAGATTTTTGCAAGTTTTACCCATTCAATCAAATTTGATGATGTTTTAATTGATTTAGTATTAATTGTTAGTCGTAATAATAACATTTGAATGAATTAACTTGCATTGCAACATGACATAACCTCAAACAATCAAAAAATAATTTATTTTTGTAATTTTGTGTTATATCAGTTTGCAAAATTCAAAAATCTCAAATAAATTCTGTTTACTTAAAGTATTAGGCCTCTGAACAAAATATATTTGCAATCTTGAAAATAAAAACACAAAATTTAACTTATGTGCAAAAAATCGTGTGCGTAAATTCGTGCATCATCTTTCAAATTGATTTAAATCTATTTGATTTGTTTTTATTTGTTTGTTTTGTGTATTATGATAATGCGGTGTTGTGTGTGTTCATGTGTGTGGTTTTTGTTTTGGTGATGTGGTAGAAGGAAGTTGCATTATTCACTAATCTCTTCTACTTTTGGTTTAACAGGTTTCTCTTCAACAATACTCTCCACGGCTGTAAGGAGAGAAAACCATTCGCATCAGAACACATCGACACGCCAAACAAATTATTAACAACATCTTTGTTAAACAATTATCCAATTAATTAATTCCAGCAACAAAAAGATTATTAATATAATGAAATTTACATTTGATTATAGTGAAGATGGAAATATAACGAACGAACATCAACGAAAACACACGTTCAAAACAGAACAAACAACACGTTGGACGAAAATAAACACTGAACGGATTTAGACGGTGAAACAATCGGATGATTATGACATTATGTTGGGTCATGTGATGTGTGTGATGTGCTTTATTTTATGATCCTTTATTTGCGAGCGCTTCTGCTTTTAAGTTTACATTTGCTTTAACGTGTTTATTTTTTGCTTACAAGCTTAGGATGAAAAGCGTTAGTTCAATCTTTTCAACCTGCTCAAACAGTTATCCTTTGCAGAATCTATTTTATACGTGGAAATGCTACAAGATATATATTCTAAGACGATAAAGATCATAACATCATGTAATAAGCTGTCAAACGCATTTTGACAGCCGAAAAGCCAAAATCAGAGCAAAAGCGAAAAACGGGATGACCTCAAAAAGGAAAAAAAGCGTCTGAAGCATGATACAGCAGGTCATGAAACTAAATGAGAAAAAAGCCGTGAAATACGCTGTGAAATACACACGACGATAAAAATGTCTTTGAAGAAATAAAACTTGATGAGAGCAATATTAACATTTCTACAATCTAGAGCGCGTAAACATTTTCAAAATTTGGAATCATTCGAAAGCGTAAACAGAAAAAAATTTCAAAATCCAAATTTATATCGTACTAAAATACTAAAATAAATAAAAAATAAAGAGAAATAAAAGTTACCTCGGACGCTGATGGGCTTTTTGATGTTTCTCTCTTCACGGAAGCGATTGATGTAGTAGCTCAACAGTTGAATGTCGCTCCTTACAGGATCATCGTGGTAGACGTAGATGTTCTTGCGGCGTGGTTGTGCCTTGCCGCCGACGATGGACACACATGCGAGGCGGCCATTGTCTGCATTGCCACAGAAACAATCACATCACAAACACAGAAACAGACAGTATCAGATTACGAAAAGGTCGATGGAAGAACTTGACTTGATTTGACAAAGGACCTAACCGCGGGCTGTACTCAAAAAACAAACAACAAACAAACATAATCCAAAGTTACAAAAAAGGTAAACAAATTAATTGAATTTACGATAAGCCTAAAAACAAAAATAAACCAAAATAAAAAGTTTTAAGTCAAAAAAAGTTGTTTTTAACTTACTAAATTGTCTCCTGACAGGATCACTCCAGTAAGTAGTATATTCAGCGGAGTTCGATGGTGTAGAGCAGATCATCTTGTGAACGTAGTTGTCGTTGGACCACCTGGCCGGTGCTTCCTCATATCTTTCGCAAATCAACAGAAAGAAATTAATTACTTCGTTGCGAAATGTAAGTACATTAATCTCTAGCACTTAATCAAAGTGCATCGAGCAACAGGCAAGAAACGAGTAGTTAACATTAAGCCGACATTAATGTTAACTACTACCGCGCAACTTAGTTAATTAATTAAATTACGTCGGCAGCTAGCGTATCGAGCGCGCACTGAGAGTCATTAGACTATTTAACAATAGTTTCAAGACGTTGACTAAGTTACAAAGACGTGGAAGGACTTTTAATGGATCGACAAATACAAACTAGAATAAAATGAAGTTGGTAAATAAAACTGTTTGTGTTCTAAACAAAAAACAGGCTATTTTTACCTTTAGAAGTCAAGATATTAACAAAAACGTGAATATTTATAATTGATTAAATAGGCAACTTGTTGTTCTTCCATGTGTTTATACAAATATGTTTTGCGTGTTGCATATATTATTTTTTTACCCTAATGTCACTTTTTATCTTACATGTCTTGTTTATTTGCTAGGTGTTTTTTATATTTCTTATGGTTAATATCTTTAGGTATTTACTCCATCATCCTCTTTAGTGCTGTAAAATGATAATAGTTTTCAACGTCCATCTTTTTCGCCGCACTCTCCCGAGGCTGCAGGTGCCGTCGGCGCAACATATATTCCGACGGCTTCGGCGCTTAGAAACAAGCTAATCGAATCTATAGAATACTGGATTTCACCGCCTGAATGAAACCAGCGAAAGTGTTTGCACGAAAGCTTTCGCTGAGTAAATTGCACGCAATCCTGGAGATTTGCGCAAAATAAGCCATTATAGTCAGATACAGGTGGATAAACACTTTACAAAAACCAATTAAAATAGGAGAAAAATAAACTATCGAAACTTTCACATAAAAACTTAAGTATTTATACTGGTATTAAGAATATTGATTGATTGCGTACTATTCCTGAGTTTGATACTCAACATTTTAGTTTGCGTTATGATGTGATAATAATAAAGCCAGGAATATCAGAATAGCTAACTTTAAATGTATATGGCCTAAGAAAGTTCTAACGAGTGAATGCACAAAATGCGCAAAACATACGTACGTTCACGAAACCTTTACAACCTTCACAACTTGTGCGTAAGTTTGGTAATTTTGTTCTTGGCTACTTTTCGCCGTGGATGTTTTTGTGCGTTACGCTTTGGTTCGTCGAACTTTCAGCCGTTAAGGGGATCTATTCACAAATATAAGCGGTAAATATAATACTTTGAAGAAACAGAGCATAAAAGTGTAATTATGTAAATCGTGAATATAGGCAACCCAAATTACACATTTATATGAAAATTTGTTTAGATGTTTACTTTTAATAAAACGAATAAATATAACCCCTTAATTACGCGCAGAACCCTTATAAATTAACGTGATTGTGAAAGGGACTATCTAATAACATGATAGCAGAGTCTAAGCTGAATTAATTTAGCAAAAGCGAAGTTGCGACAAATCAAATAAATCGAGTTACAGATACACGTCAGATAAGGAAATAAACATAATAAAATCCTACAAAATCTAAAAATTTATTTCTTAAGACTTTCTCGTATATTTCTATGATTTAATTTTGCCCAAAGATTAAAATTAATCAATTTAAGCTTCAATTTAAGTTGAAAACTCATCAAAAATCTTCACGCTTGAAATATTGATTTCATACTCAACTAATCATTGAACTAAACTTCTTAAATATTTAATCTTTTCATAAAATTCATATAGAAATTTTCCTAAATTGGATTTCCAGTAAAAAATGAATGAAAATTGAATATGCATCGTGTATTATACAAACTTTTTAACCTGTCCTTCATCACGATAACGTTATAGCTAGTTTTTTATTACTCACGCTTGAAACACTCGCAACTCTTTAATTTTTTGCTCACTTTGACGTGAAAATGTTGTTAGTCCGCACATTACCAGCAATGAATATTCATAGCATGCATACATTAAGTAATTACCTGCTAGAGTAGCTCGTGTAGGGTGTGTAGGGCAATGGCATCTGCCTGAGCTTGCGTGGCACATGAAGGTGCACTTGATTCGACAGTGAGTTGATCTGCGCCCGGATCGCTCTCGTTTCATCATCGAACATCTAAAACACAAGCCGCAAACGCAAATGATTTCCATCCTAAAACACCACCGCCGCAACGTACAAACACTTTAGACTTTGTGAGCATACCATACTTGGTTTTGGTTTGTTTTACGCTTCGCTTTTTGTTTTTGTTTAATTGTTTGGTTAATAATGGCGTCTGTTAATCATTGGTCAGTGAACGAGATGATGTGCTGCGTGCTGCTTGAAAGAAACGCTACAAAAATTACATGACTACCAAAATGTGAAAAAATTTTTTTTGGTAGGATCTCATGTGGCGACGTTTCCGTGTCAATGGCGGAAATACTTACGCGTGCGTAATGGTGTGGCGCCAGGACGGGTACAGAGATAGATCAACCATCTTTCCGATGGATATAAACTAAGATGCGAGTAGTAATAACTTCTCGTCGCCGGGAGCAGCGAGCGAAGGTACGTAGGGGTGTAGTCAAGGTACGAGAAGGATAGTAGACGCGGAGATATAGTAAGGATCGTAATAACGGCTGGTATAAAGGGTCGAAGGACGATAGACTGGCAAGCTACCGGTAATCGGATTTCTTACATAGATTATCCTCTGGAAAAACAAGTCTCAGTGTCAAAACTGCACCAAAATGACATTAAATCATTACACATGGAATGATGATGATGATGATATTAGTGCAGGTGCTAAACTACACTTTTTTACATATTCACGATGTTGAATTGTTAGTTTGGTGAGAATTTATTGATCATGTGAATCCCACAACATACGCAACTTCGTATACATGTATCATAAGTTGCCTATATCATATTTTCATCTGAAAATTTTATTTTATAAAAATTTTGCACAGCATAAAATCAATCAATAGCTAGAGATAGAATAAATAAATAAATGTTATTTTCATCATTTTAACGCACAATTGAAATAAATATTGATGGAGAGAATTATATAGCGGTCAATTTTGCGGCTGAAATAAAATTTGAGTGCTTTGCAGTTTACAACGCTCTCGAATAAGAGGAATGTGACTAGTGAAATATTTTCGCACATGCAGCCATGAGTCTAATTGGCATGTTGCCATTTGATGCAAGGTGGAAACGGTGGAATGGAAGTTTCATTTGTGAATTCCCAGAACACGAAGCAATACCAAAAGTAAACATTCAAGCAAATACGAAAGTTGCTAACATTTAGCTTGCAAAACATATAGGCATACGATATAACTAGTTAAACTACAGTTGCCTATCGGGTGAAGTGACTAGAAATTTGTCAATATAGTTGCATACATATCAGGAGAACAAGTGGGCGGAGCATAATTAAAATTTTCCAAGTATTAAAACGGCTAATTGCATGCGAACGCCGTTAAATCTTCTGTTTTACTTTGAATGAGCATCGAAAAAGTTAGTTTTTAATTAATTTTGCTTCGATACTAATCTAATGCTTTAAGTAAAGAAGCTAAAGACTTTTTAGCCGCTTAAATTCAAATTCAACAGTTCTTGCTGTGCAAAGTTTTCTGTTTGATTGAGTTTTAATTATATTAAAATGAAGAGGATAAGATTGTTTTCTTTTTAAATTCTATTTTCTACTTTCTACTTTCATTCGTGCTGTTTTTGGTTTGGTTTATACTAGATTCATTCATTAATTCAATTCGACTGTCATTCATCATTCGCATGACCTTGGCAGGATAGTAATTTACGTCCGGTTTCGATTTCATCCAGACATTCGCTCGCGCAAACACTCACCACATGGCTATCGGAGTTGAGGTAATCGTTGGTGTACGAGTTGTACGTGTACGGTCTAAGTTTGTTTTCGATGCGGTCGAATTCGCGATAGAGCGTCGACGGACGCACCCGCACCACAGTCGGTGTTGGCGTGACGACGGTGAGCCGCTTGTGCCCGATGTAGGGGATGATGCGGTCGTACGAATGCACAACGTGCACCTGCAAGACGAACATTAAAAACCTCTCTCCACTCCACAAAGAGGAAGAAGCTACAGCCTTGCGCAACAAGCGGAAAAACGTCCGGGAAAGACAATATATGAGCTGCCAATTAAATCTTCAATGTCAAACTGAACTTTAGACGTTTAAAATTAAAATCAGCTGCAAAAACAAAAAAATCGTGGTTTTTTCGTGATAAATAAATTTCAATTTGAAAAAATCCTGGAGGAAAACGTGGGTCAACGTCAACCTTGACATAATCGAAAGCCGAGCGGAAAATAAAGGACGTCTTGAGACGTCTTGAGACGCCAAGAGGTTACTTACCTTTCCTAAACCAGGCAGGATTCTCACTTGTCGCGAGGGCTCCGACTGGAAAGAATAAAACATGAGATTAATTAATTTGCTACCAGCCTGAGTGCATTAATTAAAAATTACACGCGTCGCCCCGAAAGTCAATTAACCAATTTTCCTCTGACACTTTTCACGGCGCACGAAAACGCGTTTAACAGAGCTAACAGTATTAAAAATTAAAAATCAAACACAAGAAAATTTTGTGCTTTTTATAGCTTTATTCAATACAATCACAAAAGTCGAAAAATATAAATTTATCTGTGCACAAATATAAGCTTCATATCACTAAATCTAAGTCAAAATTCAATAAATATTTGCAAACACACAACATACAAATACAGCGTGATTGAAACGCTTTGGAGTCTAAAGTTTAGACCCTGTAAGAGTAATGGCGGTATGAGGTACCGCCTGGGAGACGCCCGCTGCTAGTTGACGAATAGCTGGATGAGTATCCGCCGGGGCCATCACCGGAAGAACGCGAAGTGCGGTCCGAAGAGTAACTGTATCCGCCTGGACCGGAACCAGTGGAGCGGTTGACAGTCTCACTGGTGGTGTACGAGCGAGTTGTCGGGCGGTACGAGTACGGATCGTTGGAGGATGAGGACCTTTCAGTTGACGATGTATAACTGGAAGTATAACTCGTTTCCGAGCGACGCGACCTCTCGGGCGAATCACGCACTGGATAGTGACGCGGCGACGACGACTGTAACAGAAGAAAAGAAGAAAATTGATTTGTAGATTACTCATATCTCACGACGAATATATTCGAAATTGCTCTTACTGTCTTTGTTTGATTTTGTATGATCTACCTAATCGATCGGGAGACATTTAACATGCTGAAATTTACGCGGGTGTGGCTTGTGTTGAATGTGGGCGGACACAGGGTGGAGTCAAACACAAAGCACACAACATATTATACATTATAATAAGGGCAAAAAATTTAAGGTGATTTTATTATTTAATTTAAGCAACGTGAAATTATCGCACGTGGCAAAGATACGCGTATTAAAAATAATTTATGAGACATCAAATCGTTTCAATGGTTGCAGCTTGGACGTGTGGATGACATGCGCAGAGCGGGCATTTTCGAATTTTATTTTTAATCAGCGTGCTTTTTGCGAAAAACACATTCGTGTCGCGCAACTGAATTCTTGGCACAGTTGGCACGTGTAAACTTTAACGAAATGAAAATTCGTGGTGGTATTTATTCGCAACACTTGTTCTCGCCGACTCGCCGTTCAGCTGTTTGCCAATAAAATTATATTTGTTTAATGCCTCGAGAGAAATCTTCAGTGCTTTCCGATATAATTGATATCACACCTACTAGAAATTCACAAACAAGAAAAGAATAATGGAATAAAAAATTAGTTAAATATTTTTATTTTTGATGTTTTCAAAGCAATTTCTCGAAATATTTTCCGCGCTTCGCTGATAACTCGTCGGATATTTACAAATGAGTTTATTTTCGGCGTGGCGCGCATGCTTAGTATAATGCCGCGAGACGTGTGATGCAAAATGCTTATTTTTAGTGCCGAAATTTGCTGAGTGAACGTATTGAATTTCAGGATTACGCATTTTCTCGCGGGCTCCCCACAAAACACACGCACACAAATTGCACTGTGTGTTGTGTCCGGTGTGCGTCCGTTGTGCGCATGTGTTCTCAACTCGCTTTTATTTTCGAATTTATTTTCGAACGGATTTATATGTGCCGAGCGCGTCTTTTTGAGCGCGTTCCAGCTAGCTGTATGAATTCAAATGTTTGTAGAGTTAGTTTTAGAAGGCCAACAAACACTAACACAAGAAGAATGGATTTGCAAACTGTAACGAGCTTAAACAAACACGAAATTGTGTAATAGTTGAAACTGAATGCCGCCAGATGGACAACAGTGCAGTGATGAAACTTTCAAGGCAAATTTGTGGGTTTTAACTATTTATCAACAAGTAGATGCTATTGAAATAAATAATATATAAGAACGATAAGTAGGAAAGTTTAAGTGAAGCTACAATTGGCATTGAACAAACTTATCGAAAGCTTTTAGATTTTAAAGCTTTTCCGAACTATATGCAACCAGTTATACTTTTATATTGTATGCATTGTATTCGTGTTCGGTAACTTTATACATTCGTGGATCGGCATTGTGGAATATTTATATATAGAAATATTTACTGTGAAATAGTTTATAAGTACATTTATTTTCTGCAAGCTGCCATCTTGTATAATAAAGTTTCCAGGTATTAAAAGCGAGATATCACAAAAATATACAAAAATAGACGTGCGATAAAAACAATCAAAGCACAGACAATAAAAATTCATTTGTAAGCTTATTCAAAGCATGTGTGTGTGTGTTTAAAAATGTGTGTGTGCTAATAATACTCAAAAATACTGATTCATTGTGCTAGAAAAATGCTCAAACCTAAACCTATAGCTTCTAGATAAAAAATGTTGTGATATCAAAAATTAATAAAAAAAGCTTGTGTTTAGGCGAGGTACGACGCCAAAATTAATTTCCGCTTGTAAGGGAGATTGTACATTTCGGAATTTTTATGCATTTTGGCGAGCAGCACATCGACGTCGTCCTTTTGCGGCAGGAGCGCAGCAGGACCACTCTGTTCGCGCTCGGTGCGCTTCTGCAGCGCGCCGAGCACCTTCTCCCTGGTCTGGTCGCGTGCGGACTTATAAGGTCTCAGCGGCTCCAGGCGCACTTTCGGCGCGATCTCAGCCCGCTCGAGTGGCGTTATCGCGATCTTATCGACGCCGGCGAGCGCCGGTCGCTCCTGCTTGCGCCTGCCGAACGCCGTCACCGGATCCGGCACCAGGCTCGGACGGGGCACGAACGGCACCTTCTCCCAGGGTATTTCACGTCTCTGGAACCAAAACCGGAAACACACGCGTGCTTTATCACACCTGCTCATCTCCTAGCTAAGCTAACTACGCGACTGCTACCTAATACGCCCAATCTGTAAACCCACAAATGTAAACGTCACCGACCGACGAAAATTCATCAAATTTTAATTTTTTAACTTTTGTGTTTAAGGACCTTTTTAAGAGAAACGTGGGGCAACAGAAAAGAAGACGACACAACACATTGTCAAAAATGCAAACAACAACAATGGCCAGAGAGAGTGTTTTTCTGGTGGGCTCAATATTTGAGAACCTTTTTTGTCGTTTCTGCGCATGAGCGTGTTACTTACCGTCAGTGTGTACGTGGAGAGCGACGGAGATGCCCTGTAGGGTCTTCGAGTGGTGTAAAAGTCGGTTTCGTAAACCATCTCGGTCGATTATTGGCGAACTGGGTCGATGAAAAAAGTCGAAAAGGCGAACTGAAAACCGTTTGCGGATGCGGATTGAACTCTGGGTACCGTCCGTCCGACCGAATGAAAATTTGAAACTTTAATGCCGTTCGCGACTACGGGCGTCTCGTGATGATGTGGCGGCTCGCGAACTGGCCGGATGCCTAAAACCACCGCTAATGTACCTTTCCGAGTGCCCACCCCACGTGGGCACGTCATCGACCAACATTCGGCATTTCCACAACTCATGAAGCGCACAGCTCTCGCAAAGCGAGAGAAAACGGCGTGCGTGCGGGTATTTTTAGCGCCGCTCTCGAAATTTGCTCTCTGAAATTTATTTTCAAGCTGTGATGAAATATCATGCCAATAACGTCTCCGAACAGGTCCGCATTCTCAAAAAATACAATAAGAAGTACAACATTTTACAAAATTGGTATTTTCAACCAAATTAATTGTCATAACATGAATCTTTTATAATTTTCAGCTTTTTAATCTTGTCAAAAACATATTATAATTTTACTACTACGTCTCTTTACTATTTAAAGGTAACAACATTATAGAAAACCGAAACATGATTGAGTTGTTACACATTTCTTTGATACCAGGATCAACTGCAACATTAAATCATTCCTGTTCAATGACTCAAAATAATTGCTTTGTTTTGTATATACTAAGTTACATTACGAATTTTCCAAACAATTTGCTGTTTCCTGTTTACAAATTTTAAGAAAAACTTCATTTTTCTCTTTCAATTGATCAAATTCAATAGTAAATACAGTGAATTCCATTTAAAGACTTTTATCTCTCAATATCTTTACTATGAAAGTGTAATCACGTCGCTGGCCAAGTCCTTCGAAAGCACCCAAAGGGCGCAAGTTTGCTGATGGCAAACAAACAAGCACGCGTCGTGTTTGTGTCACGTTCACGACCGCCAACTTTTTACGCAGACGACGACGGCGCATTTGAATTACACACACTCTCTATTCTAGAACGATTGATGCCCACCACCGTCCAGTGGTCCAACCATAACAAACAAATGAGTACCTAACTAGAATCTCGCCCCTGAGTATGAATATGAGGCAACAAATAATTTGAAACGTCTGCGAAGCGCAACATCATGATGACAACAAATTTACACGTTTTGCGCCGTGACAACTGAGATTTCTAAATTTAACCGTCAGAAACTGCTAGAGTGTAACATGTTATATTATTTGCAACATTGTTGGTCTGATTAAAAGCGTGGAATGTAACTTTGGTGAACATGTGAATGAAATAAACAGGTCAACATCTTTTTGTTAACTCGGTTGCTCTGTTTTCGCGCAAAAATGATTATAAACGATATAAAAGTGTGACTCAGCGACGTGCTATGTGTTTGGTTGAAAAACAGAGAGTTTGGGACGCTGATCTGAAGCTATGAATATCTTTAATCGGCCAAGGTATCGTTATAAATTCATATGTCCGAAAGCATATAAACCAATCTATAAATACACTTGATTACATCAATGGGTAATGAAAACAGAGACGTTGAGCTGGCAATTGATTTTATATGATTCTTTTTCTGGTGGGTAATTAAACTTTTTGTTTAAGACGCAGTTGTACCTACATCTGGTAATCTGGAAAATGTATGAAAAGTGATAAAAGTTATTAAATTATGGATATAATTAGAATGGGATGTTAATATTATTACGAATGAGTTATTCTATGCAGGAATTTTATTCTTTATCCACACACCGAGCGTCACCTATTGTTGTTTTCAACTTTGTGATAAGCCAAAATTAGAAACAAATGGTACCGCTAGCGCCCTCTTTTGCCAATGAATCGCAATACAATCAGCAACAAACGATTCTAACCACCAAAAGACGTAAGAATCGCAAGACTTCTCATAAAACTGGTTTTAAAATGGACATTGATAGTGAATCAACAGCGACTTCCCTGGATGAAAACACCGAAAATTTTTGTGATAATCCAACGCGTGACACCCTCGCCGAGGGATTAATGGGATTGATAAAACCAACAGTAGATCAACTTGATGACCGAGTTAAAGCTACAAAGTAAGTCATGTGTTTTTTAATATTTAACATAACATGTAACAAATTTTTGTTACAGAATATCACAGTTGGAGTTAAAACAGTGTATTGAGTCCCTTGCAGAAGAACTCAAAAAGATTCAGGAAACACAGAAAACTTCTATTGATTTAGAAGTTTATGTAAAAAAATTACTCAGTGCAAAACACAGAGTAACAGTGCTAACAAACATCCTGCAAAGCACTCAGGAAAGACTTGACAAGATTCATACATCAGTAGAAAAAGAAGCATTGAAAAAGAAAGCAACTTTAGAAACAGCAACACCAAACCCATCAGAAAAATGAATAATTTCACATTAAACACTCCTGATTATAACATCAAACAAATGGTTGATGTCTATGAGCCTAGTGAAGACACATTCCTGTTTATTGATGCATTAGAAGCAGATTTAGCATTTATCCAAGCAAGAAAACCAACATATATGCTTGAAATTGGCTCTGGAAGTGGAGTTATAACAACTGCTTTAGGTTCACACTTGTCACTGACTTGTTTTACAACTGATATCAACATTAAAGCATGTAATGCAACTAGAGACACTGGATTGTTAAACAAAGTGCAAGTGGAACCTGTGTGTATGGATCTAGCTAGTCATTTCAGACCATTCTTATTTGATATTTTAATTTTTAATCCGCCGTATGTAGTGACTGATTCAGAAGAAATCATTGGTACTGGTTTGAGTAGAGCTTGGGCTGGTGGTATTGATGGTAGGGAAATAATAGATAAGTTATTACCACAAGTGAAAAACATTTTAAGTGAGTCAGGTATATTTTACTTGTTATTATTAAAAGAAAACAAACCGGACGAAGTGGCGGCCATTTTGGAAAAGTTTGGATTTCAGCATAAGATTATCAAAGAGAAGAAAATCCTGGGCGAATATTTATATATTGTTAGATTTATTAAAAAGCAAACATCTAAACCATAAAAAATATTCTTAAAATATTAAAATGCATCATTATTAATTTAAAAACTTTCCAAAGCTTTTGAAAACTCAAATAAATACTAAAATATATTCAAAAGTGTAAAAATATCGTTCTTGAGGCACAATTGTAGAATTACGTATATCAAAATATCTAATTTAATTCATATAGATGAGAAAACTGTCGGTTTGGAAATATTTCGACGCGAATTTCTGGCCGAGATCCGACGGCGAACTGATCGCAATTTCGTTGTTTTGGAGGAAATAACCATGCAGGAAATTACGTCGTAGTGTGTCCATCAACTGCGTGGCAATACCAGCACGGCGATGATGAGGTGCAACCCATACTCTAGAAATACCACAACGGACTTGGAATGCTTCCTCTGAACACAGATCGATGTCCAAATCAGTTGGCAGACGTTTGTATGCAGTTTGCTTCATTTCAGCGGTGAGACAACCAATGATTTTCTTATTTTGTACGTAGAGATACATCTGAAACATCATAAAACATAGAATTCTAGTAATTTCCTCCAAAAAACAAAGAAATTTTCACTTTTTTGTTTTTAAAATTTTAACATACTTGAGATTTATCCAAGGGTAGAATCATATCGTAGAATCCCATCTCACGGTTGATATAATCAATCAGTTCGACGCCTTTCTTCCACCAGATTTTCATATCACCCGGGATAATTTTGATAATCCTCGTGTTGACATCAATGTTTGTAACAACGCGTTCATTCTTCCATCCCTAATTCATTCAAAAAATTCAATTAATCACGTGATTAAACTTAAACTTATTGATAAAGATAAAGTTCTTACATTAAATTTAAACGTGTTGATGGCTTTATGATAAGTCCGATGAATCATTTCATCAGATGCATCGCCAGATTCGTAAACAAACGAGCATTCATGACAAACAATTGCACCGAATTTCTTCTGTCCAGCATCGATCAACAATTGATTATCCGAAACAGTTTTAAACTTCTTATGTGCATGTGAGGGTCCTTTCTTAATTTCTTTCTGATTTGTGTTGCAGGTCATCGATTTGTTTTTATCCGCGCAGAACAACGGAAACAATTTAGCAGACTTTTCGACTTTCTCTGTGTATGAAGTCATGTTGTTCGGACGTTTCAGCGTGCTGTCATTCAACATCTTGCTAATATTTACTTTAGCTCTCTTCGGACTGTTCAAATCCAAAGCAGACGCCATGTTACACATCTGTGCAGTTGGTGAGAAAATCAAATTAGGATTCGCTGTAGTTTTAGCCACTTCTTTATCGAGTTGATTTATGAGATTATCGACTTCGGGCACTACTGCAACATCTTTTTCAGGCGAAAATTCAAATTCAGCGACGTCCAACTTGCGTTTATTCGGTTGTAATGCTTCTTTTGTTTTGTTTAAACTGCGAAGTGGTTGTTTCTTGGGACTTCCAATCACCTGCTTAAAACTAGATCGCAGTGTTTTGAAGAATTTGCGATTAGCCAATGTGTCGCTCATGTTAACCGAATTATTTTCCTTGTTTGAGGTGTTATTTATTGTACTGTTGAGTGGTAGCGGTTTAATAGTCTTCTTAACATTGGTCATTTCTTCCAGGTACTCAGTGAGCGGTGATTTTTCGATAATCTTCATTGTTGCCTTCACAATCTTGGCCTGCGTGACCTTTTTCTGTTTGGGTTTTCTAATCTTGTGGCGCACACCGGCATTGATTTCACCGTAGCGCCTTTTGTTCAAGGTTAACACAGCAGTGTTCTTAATCTGCGCACGCTTCACGTGAGGTACGTTCATTACGCGGTGTTTACTAGCCGCTAGAAGTGCGCTAATACTTTCCTTCACGTTGAAAGTGTTGTTTTCTTTCGGGTAAAAAGTTTTAACAGGCAAGACGATTTCGTCTTCGGGGAAAAGTGCTGTACGCACCTTGGACTTTGAATCAAATTTGGCTTGTTTGGAGTTAGGAGATTGAGATTCTTGAGGATCGTTATTCGTATCAGTGACCAACTTGCGCTTGGTTTGTTTTTGATTTACTTTTACTGTGGAAGTGTCATGTGGTGTTTTCAATGTGGAACTGGGAGATTTGCTTAGAGGAGTTACAATTTTGGTTGTGTGCATTGGAGAGTATAGTATTGGTGTAGAGAGCAATGTCTGCATTGGACTGAGGTATAACGGCGGTACGCTAGTTTCTGAGCAGGGGTCAGGTGTGAGAATTTCGGCATCGTCTTCGAGTAGAACATAATCGGTGAGGCTGCATTTGAAGAACTTACGGAATTGGTGATCCGCTTCGTGTTCCAAAGCGGTAAAAGCGTTCTCGGAAAAGTTTGAGCTTTCACTGTGAATTGGGCTCATGTGGCCTAGGTCGCTGCCTGAATCACTGCCGGTGGGGAAATAACGCCTTTCGGCGGGCGGTTATTTTCTCGGTGTGTTCGTATTTTGTTTGTGATGTGCTTTGAGTTGTTGTAGCCATATTTGCCTACAGAAAAACTCAACGCGTTGCAAAACTATATATTTCTTTCAATAAACTTATTTGATCATAGAAAATTTTAATTTTTTAGTTAATTTTAAATAAATTGCAGTATATACTTATAACTTTAGTTATTCTTTACACATAAACCTCGAAATTAATGAAGTTATTGCATAAAATATTTGATGATGCAACGAATTCATAACTGATTAAGTTTTGTTTATAGTTGTATTCATTATCGAATTATTTCGCAACGCGACATAAAATAAATTGCACTTTAATAATTATTACTTAATTATTTAACGAATAAATATTAGTAAAGTACATAATTTGAACCGTAAGTTAAAATGTAACTGTAATTAGTTAGGGCTTATTAGGGTTCTAACCCACCTAAGCATTTTCTAAAAAAGAGCGCGAAAATTTCCGAAAACCCCAACGGTTTTCCCTCGACTTTAGCCTAGAAAATTAGTAAAGTTAAAAGTAAAATAACTCACCTTATATGCGTTTACTTATTAAACTAAGTAGAAATGCACTTAATAAAAAAATGTATTTAAAAAATTAACACTTCTCACAAAGTAATGCACAATTTTGTTATCTTGTTAACCTTAGGTGATAGCGCAACAGATGCTTCTGCCCCTGTTTAGATTGTTTCTGGTGATTCTCTGGTTAGGTTGCACTATGGGGCAGCTGAACCCCGCGGTTTTTCTTTATTTGGGTCACGTGGTCAAATTCTCGCCCTCTGGTTGGTCGTACTCACGGAGTTAGTGACTTTTACCCCACACTTAATATTACCAGAAAACAAAATGTAAACATACGAATTTTAAGTTATATAATGAATTAACTATATGTTATAAATTGTTGTTTATTTATATTTTATTAATTATCGTAAATTAGGACAATACTTCAACAATATTTTGCGGATATTATTACATAGCTTTAAATTTGAAGGTCTTAGTTATAATATAGGTGCATTTAGTTTGTTAGGTTGGCAACAGTGCTTACTTGACGGCGAGCGTGCTCGCAGCGAACTCTTCCTTCCTTTTTTCAAGACACAACAAGGTACACGTTTTGTTTCCAAGTTTCTCGACAAAAATATTGAAAAATAAGCGTGTTAAAGTGTACAAAAGCGAAAAATATCAATTGGGCCGTCATCAGCGTTAGTTCCTCTGTGCTGTGCGTCGATTTTAATGCCAGATGGTGTTATTTTCTTAGCTAGATTTCAAGATAGAGTGACTTGTCGGCTGGATATTTTCTGGCTCCGTAGTCGGTGTTGTTTTCGTGCATTCTTAGCCAATTCGGTGTTTTCATAAATTAGTAGTGCAATTTCAGCAGCAATATATTACTGTAAGATTAAATATTAGTTCTTCGTGTTCATCACAAAATTTTTATGAGAGTAATTTAATTTAAAGGAATAGTTTTGCCCAGTTGAGGTTATAGCGCCTTGTACAGTTTTACATGTGAAAGTGTCTATTAGGATATTAGCAGATTTGAGTAAGTTTAATCATGTTATTAATTATTGTTGGAATTTGCAGATGTCGTCGAAGATTATTAAGCCTGGAGGCGCTGAGCCTGACAACTTTGAAACACAAGTTGCTCAGGCCCTCCTTGAGCTGGAGATGAACTCTGACTTGAAAGCACAGCTTAGGGAATTGCATATTACAAAAGCTAAAGAAATTGAGCTGAATAATAAGAAAGTAAGTGTTTTGTTTTTTTGTTGATTGGTTGCACATCTAAAGCGTCTCTTTTTTTATTATTGCAGTCAATCATTATTTATGTACCGAAGCCGAAATTGAAGCAATTCCAAAAGGTGCAGACGCGTTTGGTGCGCGAGCTGGAGAAGAAGTTCAGCGGCAAACACGTTGTGTTCGTTGGCGAGCGCAAGATTCTCCCCAAGCCCACACGTAAGACGCGCACCAAGAACAAGCAGAAGCGCCCGCGCTCCCGCACCTTGACGGCCGTCTACGATGCGATCTTGGAGGATTTGGTATACCCAGCTGAGATGTGGGTAAACGCATCCGCGTGAAGTTGGACGGCTCGCAGCTGATCAAGGTTCATCTGGACAAAAATCAGCAGACCACAATTGAACACAAGGTACTACTTTCTGTTCTCTCTTATTTAAATGACGTGTTTTGTTAATAAAAAAAATTATCTTCTCCAGGTGGACACATTCGCAGCCGTTTACAAGAAACTTACAGGAAGGGAAGTTACCTTCGAATTTCCTGAACACTATTTGTAAGAGTAAAGAATAAATAATGAATAAACATCATTAATTATTATTTGTATGTTATGATTTTGTAAAACAAAGCTTGCTTAAGAAATTTGTGGCTACACCAATTTTCTTTTGACCTGGTTCTAACACTTCTTTTGGAAGTGCTGCAAAATATACTCTCTTTATTTTATGATTTTTCTTAATACTGCGCGAGTTCACTACATCAAATTACAATATCATCTATCTGTTGATTTATACTCTTTCTGAGGATTTTAGACTATTTTATTTAATGGATAAATTAGATTTTTAATATTAACTTGTTAGCAATGCAAGTACTGGTTTGTTTCAATTTATGCAACCAACATTACATCTAGAGCAGCGCCATCTTCGTAACCAGAAACTTGGAATATCATTCCGTTCTCATTCGGCGATTCATTGTTGCTTTGCCGTTGCCGACCGATAATATTTGTTACAAGTGTTAGATTTCTACTTAATTTAACAAAATGGTACGTTTATTTATAGTATTTTCTCAATTATTACCCCAAACATTATTATACAGCATTAGCTTAGTTTATTCACCGATTAAAGTGATACATTTCTTGTTTTGCCGCATCTAAGGTTATGTGTTCAATCAAATGCAATGTCATCTTAACAAATTTTTGTATTTCTCTTCTCTAGGCAAGACGTTATGATACCAGAACGACAATCTTTTCGCCCGAAGGGCGTCTCTATCAAGTGGAGTACGCCATGGAGGCCATCAGCCATGCAGGTACCTGCTTAGGTATTCTGGCAAATGATGGAATTCTGCTGGCAGCAGAAAGGAGGAACACCAACAAACTCTTGGATGAAGTGTTTTCATCAGAGAAAATCTATAAACTAAATGAGTAAGAATTATAAATGAATAGTTGCCATGAAAAATACGTTGCTATATTATTATAAATAATATTAATATAATGTTTGAAATTAGGGACATGGTGTGCAGTGTTGCTGGAATCACATCAGATGCAAATGTGCTCACTAATGAGTTGCGTTTAATCGGCCAGCGTTATTTGTTACAATATGGAGAATCTATTCCCTGTGAACAGCTGGTTTCTTGGTTGTGTGACGTGAAGCAAGCCTACACTCAATATGGTGGCAAACGGCCGTTCGGCGTATCTATCTTGTACATGGGATGGGACAAACATTATGGCTACCAACTGTATCAATCTGACCCAAGTGGAAACTACAGTGGATGGAAAGCAACTTGTATTGGAAACAACAGTTCTGTAAGACCTCATTATAACTTAAACAAATAAGTTTATTAGTTTTATTAAACAAATAAAAATAAATTTAATATCTTACAGGCTGCAGTTTCAAGCCTAAAGCAGGAATACAAAGAAAATGAAACTACTTTGAAAGATGCCAAATCTTTGGCTGTTAAAGTATTGAGCAAAACTTTGGACATGACTAAGTTGACAGCAGAGAAAGGTAAAACAACTAATGGATCAACTCTAAAACTAACGATTATCTAATAATCTGAACTTTCAGTTGAAATGGCAACGTTGAGTCGCGTAAACAATAAAACCGTCATTCATATTTTGACGAATAAAGAAGTTGAGCAGTTGATCGCCGAATTTGAGAAGTCTGAAGCAGAGGCCGAAGCACAGAAGAAGGAGAAGCAGCATCCGAAATAAGCTGCTGATTAATTATTTTTTCTACAACCTATTGATTATCTTATAATTGTAATTATGATGGTATCAAGCAAGGACCTTTAATAATACTTGAAAATATCTTTAAAACATGAAGCGGATTTTAATTAATTTAATAAAGTAAGTTGCTATTGGCAAGTCGTGAATTAAAAATTGGCGTAATTCTGCCAATATACATTTTGGGATGTCATATTACAAACAATTATTTCATTCTTCATTTGATATTCGGCATTTTTGTTCAGTAACTCTTATTTTTTATAATTTTTACAAAATCAATATTTTTTTTATTTAGGCCATTATTAATTTTCTTGAGAGTATTTTTTATTTATACTCAAGTTACAAATGTTTACATTACAGAGTATGGTAGTTTTATTTTTAGTTTTTAATTTGCTCGTCCGTGCAACAAACGCGCCAAGCTTCATTTTTAGTAGTGTTTAGTAGACCAGCAGGCAGCATTTGCAATGTGAAAATAGTTAGGTTAGGTAAACCGAATAATTTTTATTATTCATGATTATTCAACAATCCAAGTAATAATTTGTTTTTAAAATAACAATTTTTCTCCACTGTCAAATGCAAACAATCCAAATTTCAGTATAATGCATTAACCCTTTTGGACAGTGCTACAAATTGAAGCAGAATTCACATTTGCACTAATTTTCAATAAATCATTATTTCAATTATCATTATCACAAGTAAATGAATCTAAGTAATACGCGATTGTAAAATTATGAGTGTCCCTATGTATTTTCCGTGTTTAGTTGTCCAAAATCTTATGAAACAGCTAATTGTTGACACTAAGCGCTATCAATCCCAACAATATGGTTTCAAACCAAGTTTTAAAATTAACTATGGACTTGATGGTTTGTTCTGATTTATAACTAACTGCACAGCTTCTTAAAGCATCCTTAACTAATTTAGAATTACTTTTGGTTTCAGCCATGCAAGTGGTTGCACTACATCATTATCCAGAGTTAGTTGATCAGTGCTGTGATTTGGTGAATTCTGAGTGGAAGCGCAGCCGGACTGCGAGGATGCGGAGCTTTGAGAGCTCCTGTGACAAGCTACCCACGAATTTAGTCCTTGTGCAAGAAGCAAATGTCATTGGCCACTCAAAACTTTCAGTAATTCCATCCATGCCAGATGCATGCTTTCTGGAATCAGTTGTTATTGACAAGGAGTTAAGAGGCAAAGGATATGGAAAATATTTGATGAATCGGATTGAGGAGCATTGCCGAAGAATAGGTTTGCGCATGATATTTTTATCAACCAAAGACAAAGTGGAATTTTATGAGAAATTAGGCTATGATATGTGTGGCCCGGTTTCGATATATGGACAATATGTTCGAACGCAAATGCCAAGTTCTGTTAGACCAATGCCGCCAAATATAGGTAAAAACGGTTGTGCGGCGACACCGCAACCGGCACCACCGCCACCTCCTCCTCCACCAGAATTATACAATGGTGCAGATCCCAAAAAGAAGAATTTTATGAGTAAGGTGTTGTGATGAACAATGTTTGTCTTTTTGCACAGTTACTTAATACCGTCTCCTGTCAAGTACAATTAGCACATCCACAGACTTCAAAATGACTTGTTAAGCCCTCTGGCATGTTCTTTGATCACAAGAAACAGAAAATTGTTAATTGTTTAGATTTGTGGAAAATCAAGGGTCTAATGGTGTCGCTGTCAAATTTGCGTTTAAGTGCTTATACGTATTGTTTTAATACAAATTTACTTTTATTTTAAAGTTAATAAAATTTGCATACACTAAAAATGCAGATTTACCGATATATTATACAAAAACAATTAATTTTTACTCATAATGCCACACACTTTTTCATAATACTCCGGTTTGGACAAGCTATCAATCAGGAATTCACCAAGGTCATATTTACTTACAACTCTGCCTGGTGACTTATCAAATTCGATTATGTAGCCAGATTTTGGTTGGTCTGAAAAAAGTCTTATAATGACACAAAACCATATTTGATTTCATAAATTATTTACCTGCAATGTGCGGCGGTAACACGCAAATGTATTTCAAACCAGACCCTTTGGCAATATCAAACTCGCGCTGATGATCAGCATTCAATTCTTTGAATACCGGCGGAACTTTGTCGACATCATAGAAGAGGAAAGCAGACAAACAGACAGATACAACAGGAACATTGTGATGCTTCATGGCATTGACAATGTTCTGCATGCCTACACTCAAATCAGTCGTCGCTTTCAAGTCATTATTTGTCCCGAGAACGACAGCAACCGCGTCCATTCCCTCGACGGCTTTAAGCACGTCCGCATCATTTAAAACATTACCCACGACGATTTCCACGCGTGATCTCAGGTTATCAGGCACTTTCGCCGGATCTCTGACAAATGCTCGTACAGTTAAGCCTGGTGTATTGAAACAATTGAAATCAATTTGGTTAATTGAACTTTTATTGAATTAATTATTTAAAAATAAAACGTACCTTTTTCTACAGCTGCCTTTAAGGCACATAAGCCGGTCATGCCGGTGGCACCAAAAATAGCAATATTAGACATTATAATTGATACTGGAATGTACTATGCAATTCAATACGAGATTGATTAAAATAATGCAAGTAATGCGTGCAGTGTCATGTACTATACTGTGCGTAGTATGGATAATACGTGACTGTCTGTGCATACAATCTATGTCCGTCACGTTGGGAGCAGTTGGGAGACGTTCAGGAGCACTTCATGCTTCATTTAACAAAACAATTGAATGTTGCAATTGATTTAGTACTTGTTTTAGTAGCTTCTATTGAAGATGGCGCTAGTAGTACCAATATGAACATTTTTACGATTAAACTTGTTTACATCGGTTCTTGTGTTTATCACAGACCTTGGTGATACGATGCGAATATTTATTTATCATCTTAGTGTGTTCACGTGAGTACAATTCTTTTACTCTACTATTAATTCTTCTGTGCATGCTTGTTTAGCATAAAATATTTACAGAATATAAACATAGCAGGCCATGTTTTTCTTTTGTCATGACAACCAGGAAACTTGTTGATTTTCAGCTTTTATTTTAAAACTTGATACTTCATTTAAATCAAACGTGTTTCCTGTCAAAGTAGCAGTATGGTGCAGGGCTGTTTTGATGCACGTGAAAATAAATCGCAATATCAAGTAGTTCAGATGAGTCGCATAGAATGCGCCTACCTATTAAAAGTGCATCGCATTCCGGATGTATCCGAATTATGCACGGCCGTAGTTCTTTCCGTAGATCATCGATCGCATCAAGCGATTAGTCGCGTTCCAGTCAGTCCGGATTTCACACAAGATGACGTCAAACCATCCCAGATATTGGTTCAGGATCAGACTGAGGACATCTTTCTTAGATTTCCGAAAAAAATCAACCAAATTAACTTCAAAGATTCATCCGTGCGTGTAATACGCGTCGGTGACGTTGACACCCTCCATCTTTTAAATGAAGTGCGCGATCCTAGTGACGAACAACAAAATGAAGATTATTATGGTGAACTTTTGGGTAAAAGTCGTGAATCAAAAGTGCCGAATATTCCGTTGATGATTCGATGCCAAAACTGTGACACTAACTTTCCTACGAAGTATCAATTTCAACGCCATCAATGTGAATTCAATGCTGATAAAGTAGTGCTAAAGCCAAATGTTGATGCAAGAGATGTGGGTAAAGGATTACGAATGAAGTTTGAGTGCAAAACTTGCGGGAAACTTTTTGTAAGTAAAAATAATCTTGAACGGCACCTGACCAGTCATGATGAAGACAATGTTAACATCTGTGAGTATTGTAATAAACAATTTGTTAGCGAGAATCGCTTAAGAATTCATAAGGAGAATCATTGTAAGAAAACTGGGGATATTAGTAAATTTTATCGAAGCGATGTTACGGTTTGGAGATGCATCAAATGTTACCAAGTGTTTTCATCTGATACATATGCATGTACACATGCAGAAACATGTAAGGATCTTATAACTGATCCGGTAGCCATTAAAAACGCAAATGAAGATATTGCTGAGGTGATGGATGTGAAGGGGGAACCCAAGGCGGCCATTTTAAGTCAGTATGTTGACAAAGTGCGCACGGAATTGCTGTTGCAGTGTGAGTTTTGTAATCGTACATATGCCAATAAGAAATCGTTGCTATGGCATCAGGATACACATACAACTGCTGTCAATTACAATTGCGTTGTTTGTGATCAAAATTTTGAGTCTTACACGTCCGCTGCCAAACACTGGCTGACGGATTGCACGAATGAAGCGAATTTATTTTTTCTACCAAAGTTGATTTTCTGCAAATGCTGCAATCGTACATTTAAATCCCATGAAGTTTTGTACTTGCATAAAATCAAAAAGAAGCATTACACACCCAAGAAACATACTGACGAAAATGATTTTCAAGTCGAACCGAAAATTGAGATTAAACCGATCAAAAAAGATGTGGATGTTGGCAGTATGAAATCAGGTAGTAATTCCTCCATCAACAATGATGATGTTAATAGTGATTCTGGGCCAATTAAAAAAATAAAAACTGAAGAAGAAATAAAAACTCTTGAAAATGCTGAAAATGGAAAAACTACGATTATTCAACTCATTGAAGGCGTTTTGGGATCTAGTAAAGTAGAAAAAAACGAAGGTACGGATTGTCCAAGTGAGAATTTTGATGATGACGAAGACGGTGATAATTTAGAAGATGACGATAAATCTAACGTTTTAGTTAAATCCGAAATCAATAGCGAAGTTAGCCTGGGCGTGTCGGACGACGCTACCGAGGAGCCGAAACAAAAGAAGCGCGGCCGCAAGCGAAAAGCAACGTCACAAAATAGCAAATCAAAGAAGTATATGATTGAGGTGGCCCAAGGATACAAGTATCAATGCGAGCGTTGCGTGGCGTTGTTTAGCAACGTGATGGAGCTGGAGGTTCATCGCAACAAGAAACATCCGGCCAACTATAAATGCGAGGAGTGCGATCAAGTGGTGCATAGCTCCAAGGCATTGATGATCCACAGTCGGGCGCATCAAAGTCTCAAACCGTATGTGTGCGAGATTTGTAAGCGGTGCTATTCGCAGACGTCGCATTTATGGCAACATATGCGCTTTCACCAAGGTACAAATATTTTACTTTTAAAGGAAAATGGTGAAAATGGTATTTTGTTGTAGGTATAAAACCATTTGCTTGCCCACATGAAGGATGTGAAGCGCGGTATACAATACGCCCGGATCTCAAGGATCACATTCGAAAGGTCCACACTCGTGAGCGACCTTTCAAGTGCACTGTTTGTGATAAGTGCTTTCTCACTGGCTCGGTGTATTATCAGCATCGACTTATTCATACAAACGATCGAAGATATGCTTGTGATGTAATTATACTAAACATTAACCTTATTTTTGTGCTATGTTTTTTTTGTTAATAGATTTGTGAGAAGAGATTTTTCCGCGCGGACGCTTTGAATAATCACCGACGGATTCATACAGATGAACGGCCATATCCGTGTATGGTGTGTGGACGCAACTTCCGGCAGAAGGGAGATAGGAATAAACATGTGCGCACACAACATCCGGATTTTCATATATAAATTATTTTTTATGTTTTAATCTAGATTTTATTTAAATAAGTTATGTAAAGTTTTAAAGGGAGTCACAGTTTTTATAAAAAATATAAAAAACAATAATTATATAAAGGTTTCAACAGTATCTGACGCATCTGATACTTTGTATGTGTTATCCGTGTGGATTTGGCCAGCAACAAGTTTCTTGTTTGGTTGGATACGGTTGTCATCATCAGAGAAACTGTCTTCACTTACGGAACTTCCGGTATCAACATCTTTCACCACCTATGGAAATTAAATGTTGTGTTAGAATATTAATTGTTTTTTGCTGTTTTTGAACGAAAACTGTTACTTACTGGTTTTAAGTTATATACAACAATGCGAAAGTCAACACCCACTATAATTCGTAAAATCAGCGTGCCAATTAGAACGATCCAGGCTACAAAGACGATGGTTGCAGTGACCTTCAAACTGACAATGTACCTGGATATCCAGACGATGGACGGTTGGAAAATGAGAGTGAAAGTGTTTATGTCTGCGTGACATGGGTCCATTGTAGGTATATAACTCATGCTATCACAATCACTATATATAAATAATATAATATTAATTTAAATGGTTATTATACTATTTTAATACATACGATTCTTCTTTCAGTTTGGCATAGATCTGATCTGTAAAATGCGACAAGCCATTTTTTATGTATGCATGTGCTATTCCAATGCAGACTACCATCACACTCGAGAATACGATTGCCCATGGTACCAACTTCCATCCTTCTACATCACTACATTATATTTATTATTAAATGATTTTTTAGAGAAACATTGACTTACACTGTTCTATTTTTGGCATATCCACCTTTAGGAAACACGATAACGAATGCCAACATTATCATCGCGACAATCATTGAGAATAAATATGTGCCCCTGGTGTATGAGCACACACTGTCGCTGCCCCAAATGGTGAGCGGATTGTGAAACGAAAAGTTTTCCGGGATTGGTCCGGCTGATTCGTAGGCATTGACATCAGTGAATTTTAAATTTGCGTAAAGAATGCAATTAAATCCGAAAACTTCTATGATACGCATTATGTTCAGAGCTGTTATCAGTGAACATATTGTAGCGGTCAAGAGACATAGTACATGCAACGCTGGAAATAAACAATGTAAGTTTAGAATTTAATATGTTAATGAGATCATCACAATATATATCTCATTATATATTATTAATTAGGTGATAACTTTGTGGTGTAATTTCCATTTATCGACATGTTATTGTTGTTGTAATAACTCTATTAACATGCAGGTATTGTTTACATTAATATGGCGATGACTTTTAATTACCTTTCCAGAGAACGGAAATACTCGCTGTGTCTCTTTGGACGATCTGACAATATTGATCCAAAACCATATTTATAATTACAATCACACGCGAAAATGTTTTGAATTTGACACCACAACGATACTAACGACACTAAGTGACATTAATGACACTAACAACATTTAAAACAAACGTAACAACTTTGGTAAACTGTTTTTAGTTGGTTGATAGTGACTTAACTAAATGTTGACTGACGCCGCATGTTGTTTGTTGTTGATTGCTTCGAAGGTATGCCATGTGAAATGTAAAAATAATGATTATCTCATCGCGAGCCGATGGATAATAAGGAGCGTTAACGTTTTGCCGCTTGCATCACGATATTATTACGACATTAGAACGACTGGGAGATCGGCAAAGCCACGCCCGCGCAGTTGTATATATGTGTATTCAGATGCTTCACGCAGTATTTACTCGGCGAGGCGATTACGCATTGAACAGTTGGAAAATATCTAATGCGAGCGAACGCGGAAAGTAGCAAAGTTTTGATGTGGAAAGGCGAGCAACAGCGCACACTGCGTTGCGGTTTGTTGTTAGCAACCGAAATTTCGGTGCCATGGAGTCTCGCATAGCGTCCTTGTGCGTTCTTTTTATGACTGCGTATAAACATAAAAGATTTTACTCATGCAAAGCTAAAATAAGAGTAATAGGAAACGATGTGGGGAATTGAAAAGTTTGCAAAATGTAAATTTTATGTGAGAGTTTTACGAAGCGTTATAATTGCATGTGTTTTATAAATATGAATGACATTAAAATGAATTGTGTTCAAAATTTTATGAGTTTTGACATTTTTAACGTAAATATTTGATTTTTAAAGATTTAAAGTTTATTTCAACTTGAAATTTATACCAATAAACGTAATTTAATATTTATTATACGACTATCAATAATTATACTTGCAATAATAGTTTTAAATTCGTTAAACTTGTTGATTATCAAGCATATAAGACAGTCTTTAGTTTGAATCCCGCAGATGGCGTAAGGTGTTTCAGCAGCAATTTAATAAACATCTACTTTGCTAAATTTACACAGAAAACGAACAAATTTACGATATCAGATTCGCAATCGAACAACTATGCGCGACCCTTACTAGTAAATCAAAGAGAAGGGAAAGAGAGGACCCTGGAGACCTGCAACTGAACTAGGTTGTAAACGAAAAAAACACAAAAGTCATGCAACTGAACTACTGGACGTCTGCCCTTTTATAGCTGCGGACAACCTCCAAAAAGTGGAAGGGCGGAGGGTAAGGGTGGGGGAAGGTACCCTTTGAGGTGTACTTTGCGGGCGGGTCTACCCCCCCTCTTTTTTAGGGATCACACGCAGGTATAAAATGCCTCACGCAGGCACCCCAGTGCATAGTCAGGTCTAAGTCGTTGGCAATCGGGAGTACCATTCCGCATAAATTACAAGAGCGTCCAATTTCCTTTCGTAACCCGAGATTTCTAATAAGTGATTATTCTGTAACATGATATATCCCCACAGAATAAAAATAATAATTTTAACTTAATGCAACTTGATAACATTCTCGATCGCACTTTCAATTAATATTAAATGTACTACACCTCAGTGCTATTTACCTCCTGCTATTATCCTCATTTTAAATTCTAAAGAAGTTTATGTAAACACATTTTCCAAGAGCATTCAAGTTGTGCAGGTCGTGTATTCATCCTCATACTGAATACAACAAAAACCTATAGCATAAAACAACACAGACAAAAACAAAACTCTATTCAGTCTTGTCAGTTCTTTCTAACACATTCTAGATAATATTCTAGATAGAAATATATTCGCTAGTACGCCGCGAGAACGCTAGCGAAATAAACTTATCTTGGCTGTGACCGGGGTTCAGCTTCGTGCTACCCCGGCTGCCGACGGGTGGCGTTCGATCCGCATGCGCGCCGAGCACGCAACATATTCTACACACACCACCGTCAGTAGATTCCGAAAATCGTGCGAGGTTCCTGTCGTCCTCTCACAACACACAAACTCTTGTACACGACGCAACGCTCGGCGATTCGTAGTGACCCTTCGTAACCCTAACAATTCGACTAATAATTAGTGATACCACACATCATAAACAATCGCTAGCTGCAGTATAAAACGGTGCAGTGCGTCGTTTGTTATTTGCAAGACATTGTAGTGCGTGTTTGTCTGTTTTCTTTTCTTTCACACTGTTTTTGTTATCGTGTTTGGTGTTTATCAATCGTTCCACTCTAGAGGATTAAATAAAAGTCAATACACATACAGATTATGACCGGATATATTGAAGAGACTTAAATTTGTTATCCGATTGAAGACCAATTATGTTGGCCGCGTCGGAAAACAGCAGTTACATCGCTGGTGAGTTTTTTAAAACAATTTTCTATTTTTTATTTGTGTTTCATTATAAAGAGTTTATTTTATTATAAAATATTTGCTGTGGAATTCCTGTAGTAGTCCTCTACAGTTGTTCTCCTGCACGCGCGAAAGGATACAATTGATTTTCCTTTGCGTAGTTTGCGCCGTACTGAATGTAGGTCACCGAGCGCAGCGTTATCCCGACGAAAATAGGTCAAAATCAACCATCCCCCCGATACACACAACATCAGCGCTCGCTCCTTCGCACTGCTTCCTCAATCGCCGTGCACAATGCGATATTGTGGGATATTCTGTGGTATTGTGCTCTGTGTTGGTCGGTGCCAACCTCACGTCCTTGATATAAGCTATGTGTCCGATGTAAATCATGCTGCTTATTGTCTGAAATCGATATTTTTATTTGTATCGGTAACTTATTGTTGGGCGCTTACCTGTAGAACTTATTCGCGCTCGGCGTTGATTCAGCTTTGCTTCGAAGAATGACTCATGAAAACACATTCATGATTTTTGCTTGGAAATGGTGGAAATCTTTCAATGTCGGAATGGATAACTTTCAGGGTGGAAACTTTTAAATTGCTGCCATTGTTGTCATTGATTTTCGTTGTGTTTCATGTTTGTTTTATGAAAATTATCCAGCGCACAAACAAAGCGAAAGCGAAACGAACGATTTTAATCAAAAATAACTTTTTGATCTTAAATTTACATTTTAACCAAATAATTGGTAATAAAGTAAAAATATTCGAATATTATTCCAAATTCTTGAATTAATAATATAAATAATTAAATATTAATTTGATTTGACTAAAAATATGGTTTATACATTTGATTTCATAATAATTTATATTCTATTACAATAACAGCTATTCATACCTTGAACTAATTGTATTTTTTGGCTTTCTTTTATTGTTGTCCACTAGATTTTCCCTAATTTCACCCTTGGCGTGTTTTTTTCTGAGCCTAGGGCTTGAAGTATTTGCGCGAGTAATTGTGCGTTTTAATGACACCTCGTCGGCTGGTACTTTATTGTTCTGCGTGTGTACGCGCTGCTGTTTACGATTTTTTCCCTATTGTTGAGCCGAACGCGTTCACAATTATATTTTAATCAAGTATAAAATAGCGTGCATGCATAATGGTCATTCGCGTGCGATATACTTCAGCTGGACACGAATCTACGACTCGATAAACCAATAATGCGCATAACAAGGACAACGCACACGTTATTCTATAATTCTGTATCTTTTATATTCATAAATGTATAGAAATTTTTTGAAACAAAGCGCGTTATTAACAATAGCAGCTGCAATTGAGTATTTGAAGTAAAAGTAGGTTAAATACAAGTTTTTGTTGAAATTTATAGTGAAATGTTATAGGGGATGGTTGGTACAGACCTATCATTGTCTAAATTGTACACCAGTGATTTGTAGAATTTGTATTCAGTATTATTTAATATTTGAAGTATTTTCTATCTTGGTATTGCTCAATACCAAAATTTAAAAAAATTAAGGGTGAATTTAATCGTTAAAATCTTGAAGAAGATAAAGTAGGATTCTGTTAAATACATTATAAAAGAAATAAAAACAAAAGAATTTGTCCAAAAATTAAAAAAAGTTAGGAACAACCCTTATCACTTAGCCGATTCTCAGACCTACTGAATACGCATATAAAATTTGGTAAAATCGGTAAAGCCGTTTCGGAGGAGTATGGAAACAAACACTGTGACACGCAAATTTTATATATATAGATTAATATAAGAGCGTATAAAGCACAAAACGAACAGAATTTATGTAGATTTAAACTCTAAGTTTTCAACAAGGTTCATATTTTAAGTTTAAGTCGGAAATTTTTTGATTTACATAAAATTTTAGTTGTTTTGTGTGCAATATTTGTTAAAATATTAAATTTGAGGTTAATTAGTAGCTAAAACTCTAATAAATCTAATAGTTTTCTACATGATTGTATATTTGGTTGCCTACTATAGCAGTATATATAAATACAACCAAAAATTATCCTTGCATTTAAATCTACTTTAACAATAAGATAATTATACTATTAAACCTGAATACCAAGTTGAAAGTAATTATGTTGCAAAGTAAACTGTTGTCCTTGATAAATAAGTTATCTTTTTATTACGCCGTATCCTCCCATGGCTCGTCTAGAATTTGGACACGATTGTCCGGATCGATTGTCCCGAGACGTTTGGGAAGCATAGCGCGTGCAAAGAACATTGAAACTTTGCCTCATTCCACGCGCACAAATGAGAATGCATTAATTTTGAATGACAAACAATGGTTATAAATTTAATGATGACCTTCTGGAAGACTTCCAACATTGAACTCGCTTTTTTCCTGCTCTTGGCAATGTTATTCTCATAAAGTCAACATTTGTGCAACAAAAAATGCATCCCGAACACGCGTATAGCATTTTAATGATAAACCAACATACAGTTTAAACTAGCTCCAATTTAAACCACATTTATTATTCCATCCGAGATGATGGTAAATGGTGAGAATCTTGAAGCGAAAATTCAAGACGCGTGAAAACGTGATAAATGTTGAAAAATAAAAAGGAGCTGGAAGAGGAAATATAAATAGCGTTGGGTAATTTTGCCTGAAATGTGACTTACCCAAGGAGATGTAAGTAACACGATGCGAGCGCAATTTATTTACCACTTGTACGTGTACCCTCAGGACTCGCGTTGATAGTACCTTCGGTTTGATACCGTATAGCACCTATATGCTGTGCATGTGGGGAATGTAATGTCTACGTCCGCGATTATTGATTTTCCTGCGCACCTAGCGAGCTAGCGGGACAGCCGGTTCCAATCGAAATTTTCGGCTCGATCATTTTTCACCAGGCGTGCCGTGTGGTTCTATGAATTATTAATGGCGGGCATGTCACGCGCACGTGGAATCTCAATTAACTGGGCGATTACGTAGTTGGTAGTTTGCGAGACTTTGTCAAGATTAGCGCTTTGACCTATCGATACTGAGATGAACCGGGCAAGCAAACAAAATAATGGGAAACAGTTGATTTTTAATTAAAATTTTATCTTTGGATGAAATAAATTTGATTTAGGACTATATATAGACAAAACAAAGTTGCGTTAGTTACAACATTCATAATTCAAGAACAAGAGAACAGATTTTGATGATTTATGCTTTTTTGGATTTGTCTTTATTCCGATTAGCAGAATAAGTATTAATATATCAAATATTATGACTTAAAGGGTTTTAAATAAGGGATGAAAAGTATTTTAGAGATTTGGTTATAGTTATATCTTAATAATTGAATCCGAGATGGCGTGAAAGTGCATTATTAATAATTCTCGTTTCTTTAAAGGAGAATTACAAATCTTATATCAAAAATGGCACTAATAATAAGTTTGGTTCATGCTTGTAGGTATTTTTTTTATTTGAACCATATTTCCACTCCACACTTTTAACTCTGAATACAAAAATACAATTAAAATTAAATTATAGAATAATTCAAGATACGTGTTTAAAGTGTTGATTATGCAAGTTGTGCGAGTTTCTAATTAATTTTCAAGGTCTGCATTGTGCAATTTAATAATTAAATGCTTAGTTTTCTTCTTTTTCCTCTTTATTACCTTTTTAATAACCTTCCTCCTGCATATATACCCTAAACGCAATCCATTCTTCTTCGTTTTCACAAGTCCATCGTCTAAATGTGACATCCCTCAAAACGTACAAACAATATCCAACATAACCAGGAAAAATATTAACATTGTTGTACTTGTATTTTGTGCACTTGCATTCGGGATAACTCATAAAACCACACGGTAATGTGTCCGTTACCTTAACACCATAACATTGCGCTTTATCATCAGCGTCCAAATGCGGGTGATAATCTTTTATACACGTACAATTGTCAAACGTATATTCTTTGGTGCCAAACACTACCAAAAAGTAACTCCATGTTGACAGTAAAAATATTATAAACTTCATGATTTTGGTGAAACGATAGCGGATTATTTATGATTTGTTAAAATTTAAGCTACATTAAGCTGTTATAAATGACACACCACAATAGTTTTTATTTTGCATTATCAAAACCGGATGCAACAAAGGAATATTAAAATAATATCACACGCAAAACATTTTATTTTTGACAACAAATAGGTTTGCAAAATTTATTTAATGAAATTGTGGTGGTTTTATATTTCGCAATGATGGTGGAAGCGTTTTTTGCATGAGCTTAAAACAAGAATTTGGACGTTTGAACACTTTGAATCATCGGTTGTCATCAATGGTGTTTCGTTTGAATAACAATTGCATTCGTTTTGCAAAAGCAGACATCAAACGCATTATTAAAATATCAGATTGCACAAATTGTGATTTTCAAGAGCAGTTAATCAATAAATTAAACATTGTTAAATCACTATAAAAACAACCGAAACAAGTTTAATTTAAGAATAAAAACTAGTATTAAAAATGGTAGAAATAATAAGTTTAGGTTTTTAATTTCGGCCATATTTCCATTCATTGACATATTCAACCTGAATACAAAAACACAATTCAAATTAAATTATAGAAAAAAATAAAATACGCGTTTAAAGTGTTTAATATTTTAGCCGTGCGACTTTCCAGTTAATTTTAAAGATCTTCATATTACAATTTAATACCTAATTAAAATATCAATTATTATTATTTTCATTCCTTTTTATTTACCTTGCTTTTATTCTATCTCACGTCTATATGCCCTATATCTTTCCCATTCTTCTTCGTTATCACATGGCCATCGTCTAATTATAACTTCCATTATAGTTAATATACACCATCCAAAATGATACGGATTAATTACATAAGTGTTGTGCTCGTATTTTGAGCAAACGCAAGCAGGACGTTTCAGATATCCACACGGATATGTTTGCGTTATTTTAACACCATAACATTGCACTTTATTATCAGCGTCCAAATGCGGGTGATAATCTTTGGTACACGTACAATTCTCTAACGAATATTCTTTCTTGCCCAACATTGTCACAAAGTAACAGCATATTAATAGGAACAATATTATAAACTTCATAATTTTTGGTGAAACGGAAGCGGATGATTTATGATTTGTAAAATTTTGAACTAAATTAAGCAGTTATAAATGTCACAACACAATAGTTTTTATTTTGCATTATCAAAACCGGACGTTACAATCGAATATAAAAATGAAATTAATTTCACACGCAAAACATTTTATTCATAACAATAAAAAAGCATGCAAAATTTACTTAATGAAATCGTGGTGGTCCCATATTCAGCGTTGGTGGTGGAACCATTATTTTGCAAGGGCTTAAAGCACCAGTTTTCTCGTTTGCACACTGCAAGCCATCGGCTGTCTTCTTTGGTATTTCGTTGACATAACAATTGCACTCGTCTTTCGAAACAGCAGACATCACCAGGCAGCTCATCAATGCGAGAATAATTACCACACGCATTATTAAAGTATCAGATTGCACAAATTGCTGTTAATAAACCAATCATTGTTATAATACTCACAAATACAAAAAGTTATCTACAGGGTAAATGTGGCGCAAACCCCTACCAATTATCCGTTCG